AAATTGGTTCAGGACGTTGTCCAGCATGAAAAGGAGTCAATACAACATTCGGAGAGCAGTAGAGAGCTTACAGTGAATCTTCCCGTGGGGGCAGTTTGATCAGGTTTGCATTTTGGAAAGGCCCCTCTGGCTACAGTGTGGAAGACACATTGGGGACCAGGCTGATGTTGGGCTGTGGGTACCAGTTAGATGCTTGGACTATGAAAGTGAAAGCAGAGTACAGAGAAATATTCAGGCGGTGTAATTGTTAGGGCTAGGTAATTAATTGAATGCAAAGACTGGATGGAGAGTCAAGAGTGATACTTAGATTTCAGATTTGGGCAATGAGTGACGTCGGTTGAGATGGAGGAGACAGATGTGCAATTCACCTTCCATCCGAGGATCATCACGATTTTGTCCCTTTGCTGAATCTGTCAGCTTCTTCAAAGTCCCTCTTCAGCACTCCAGTTTGTGATGATCACTCTGTCCTCAAAATTCCTAGCCTTGTCTGTGTCATCTTCTCGTTCAGCACTTGGCACAGGCTTTCTCTTGTAGCTTACCTTTCTCTATTTCTGTCTACCTTATGATACGGCAAAGTCCTTGAGAGCACGGTCTGTGTCTTGTACCTCACAGTGTGCCCACCTCTAAGACGATTTCTGACTTGCCTTTGTTATAGACTCTTCACATATCTGGATATGATGGTTCTATGTGAGAACTTTAAAAGCTCATCAGATATGAGGTTTAGCTTTTCTTACTGTCCTGGAAATCTTTGGTCCCAAGATGCTATCTTTTAGGAAAGAAGGAAAGGAAAAAAAAAAATTAAGTCTCACTCTGTCTCTCTACTGAACATTCAAATCCTAGTGAGGATTATTTTATAATTATAGAAATACTGAATCACTATACTGTGTGTCAGGAACTAAAATTTTAAGTCGATTATGCTTAAAAAAAAAAAACAACTCATAGGAAAAGAGATCAGATTTGTAGTTACCAGAGGCAGGGGGTAACAGGAGGGAAAATTGGATGAAGGGAATTCCTCATAAGATGCATAATTACTAGGGATGTAATGTATAATGTGATAAATATCATTGACATGGGTGTATAATATATATGACAGATATTAGAATAGCTCAGGAGTTCTCATCACAAGAAAAAAAATGTTTTTTCTATTTTATTTTCTACCTATATGAGATGATGGATATCAGTTCAATCGTGCAGTCATATATGACTCTTTGTGACCCCATGACTGCAGCACACCAGGCCTCCCTGTCCATCACCAATTCCCGGAGTTTACTCAAACTCATGTCCATTGAGTCGGTGATGCCATCCAGCCATCTCATCCTCTGTCATCCCCTTCTCCTCCCACCTTCAATTTTTCCCAGCATCAGTGTCTTTTCAGATGAATCAATTCTTTATATCAGGTGGACAAAGTATTGAAGTTTCAGCTTCAACATCAATCCTTCCAATGAACACCCAGGACCGATCTCCTTTAGGATGGACTGGTTGGATCTCCTTGCAGTCCAAGGGACTCTAAAGAGTCTTCTCCAACACCACAGTTCAAACACATCAATTCTTCATCGCTCAGCTTTCTTTATAGTCCAACTCTCACAACCATACAGGGCTACTGGAAAAACCATAGCTTTAAGTAGACAGACCTTTGTTGGCAAAGTAATGTCTCTGCTTTTTAATATGCTGTCTAAGTTGGTCATAACTTTATTTCCAAGGAGCAAGTGTTTTTTAATTTCAGGGCCACAGTCACCATCTGCAGTGACTTTGGAGCCCCCCAAAAATAAAGTCTGTTACTCTTTCCGCTGTTTCCACATCTATTTGCCATGAAGTGATGGGACCAGATGCCATGATCTTAGTTTTCTGAATGTTCAGTTTTAAGCCAACTTTTTCATTCTTCTCTTTCACTTTCATCAAGAGGCTCTTTTGTTCTTCACTTTCTGCCGTAAGTATGGTGTCATCTGCATATCTGAGGTTATTGATGTTTCTCCCAGCAGTCCTGATTCCAGCTTGTGCTTTATCCAGTCCAGCATTTCTCATGATGTACTCTGCATATAAGTTAAATAAGCGTATAAGTTAAATAAGCAGGGTGACAATATACAGCCTTGACACATTCCTTTCCCAATTTGGAACCGGCCATTTGTTCCATGTCCAGTTCTAACTGTTCGTTCTTGACCCGCATACAGATTTCTCAGGAGGTAGGTAAGGCGGTCTGGTATTCCCATCTCTTTAAGAATTTTCCACAGTTTGTTGTGATCCATACTGTCAAAGGCTTTGGCGTAGTTAACAAAGCAGAAATAGATGTTTTTCTGGAACTCTCTTGCTTTTTTGATGATCCAACGGATGTTGGCAATTGGATCTCTGGTTTCTCTGCCTTTTTTTAAATCCAACTTGAACATCTGGAAGTTCATAGTTCACGTACTATTGAAGCCTGACTTGGAGAATCTTAAGCATTACTTTGCTAGCGTGTGGGATAAGTGCAACTGTGCAGTAGTTTGAGCATTCTTTGGCACTGCTTTTTTTGGGATTGGAAAGAAAAGTGACCTTTTGCAGTCCTGTGGCCACTGCTGAGTTTTCCAAATTTGCTGGCATATTGAGTCCGGCGCTTTCACAGCATCATCTTTTAGGATTTGAAATAGCTCAACTGGAATTCCATCACTTCCACTAGTTTTGTTCGTAGTGATGCTTCCTAAGGCCCACTTACTTCGCATTCCAAGATGTCTGGCTCTAGGTGAGTGATCACACCAGCATGATTATCTGGGTCATGAAAATCTTTTTTGTACAGTTCTTCTTTGTATTCTTGCCACCTCTTCTTAATGTCTTCTGCTTGTTAGGTCCATGCCATTTCTGTCCTTTGTTGTACCCATCTTTGCACGAAATGTTCCCTTGGTGTCTCTCATTTTCTTGAAGAGATCTCTAGTTTTCCCCGTTCTTTTGTTTTCCTCTGTTTCTTTATAGTGATCACTGAGGAAGGCTTTTTTATCTCTTCTTGCTGTTCTCTGGAACTCTGCATTCAGATGGGTATGTCTTTCCTCTTCTCCTTTGCCTTTCGCTTCCCTTCCTTTCTCAGCCATTTGTAACAGCTTCTCAGACAGCCACTTTGCCTTTTGCGTTTTTTTCTTGGGGACGGTCTTGATCCCTGCCTCCTGTACAATGTCACAAACCTCTGTCCATAGCTCTTCAGGCACTCTGTCTATCAGATCTAACCCGTTGAATCTATTTGTCACTTCCACTATATAATCCTAAGGGATTTGATACAGGTCATACCTGAATGGTCTAGTGGTTTTCCCTACTTTCTTCAATTTAAGACTGAATTTGGCAATAAGGAGTTCATGATCTGAGCCACAGTCAGCTCCTGGTCTGGATTTTCCTCACTGTATACAGCTTCTCCATCTTTGGCTGCAAAGAATATAACCAATATGATTTTGGTATTGGCCATCTGGTAATGTCCATGTGTAGAGTCTTCTCTTATGTTGTTGGAAGAGGTTGTTTGCTATGACCAGTGCGTTCTCTTGGCAGAAGTCTATTAGCCTTTGCCCTGGTTCATTCTGTACTACAAGGCCAAATTTGCCTGTTACTCCAGGTGTCTCTTGACTTCCTACTTTTGCATTCCAGCCCCCTATAATGAAAAGGACATCTTTTTTGGGTGTTAGTTCTAAAAGGTCTTGTAGGTCTTCATAGAACCGTTCAACTTCAGCTTCTTCAGCACTGCTGGTCAGGGCATAGACTTGGATTACTGGAATAGTGAGTGATTTGCCTTGGAAATGAACAGAGATCATTCTGTCGCTTTTGAGATTGCATCCAAGTACTGCATTTTGGACTCTCTTGTTGACTGTGATGGCTACTCCATTTCTTCTAAGGGATTCCTGCCCACAGTAGTAGATATAATGGTCATCTGAGTGAGTTAGTTCAGTCACTCAGTCGTGTCCGACTCTTTGCGACCCCATGAATCACAGCACACCAGTCCTCCCTGTCCATCACCAACTCCCGGAGTCTACCCAAACCCATGTCTATTGAGTCGGTGATGCCATCCAGTCATCCTCTGTCGTCCCCTTTTCCTCCTACCCCCAATCCTTCCCAGCATTAGAGTCTTTTCCAATGAGTCAACTCTTCGCCTGAGGTGGCTAAAGTATTGAAGTTTCAGCTTCAACATCAGCCCTTCCAATGAACACCCAGGACTGCAAGAAGATCCAACCAGTCCATCTTATAGGATATCAGTCCTGGGTATTCATCTGAGTTAAATTCACCCATTCCAGTCCATTTTACTTCACTGATCCCTAAAATGTTGATGTTCACTCTTGCCATCTCCTGTTTGACCACTTCCAATTTGCCTTGATTCATGGACCTAACATTCCAGGTTCCTATGCAGTATTGCTCTTTACAGCTTGGACTTCACTTCCATCACCAGTCATATCCACAACTGAATGTTGTTTTTGCTTTGACTCCGTCTCTTCACTCTTTCTGGAGTTATTTCAACACTGATCTCCAGTAGCATATTGGGCATCTACTGACCTGGGGAGTTCATCTTTCAGTGTCCTGTCTTTTTGCTTTTTCATACTGATGGATATACATTAAACTTACTGTAGTAATCATTTCATTTGTACATAAATCAGCTCTTTATGCTGTACACCTGAAATTTGTACATCACTGTATGTCAATTATATTTCAATAAAACTGGAAGGAAGAAAATTTTTAAATAAAAATTCAAAACCTGTAAGATTTCTCTTTTCCTCTCTCTTTGAAGTGAAGTGAAGTCACTCAGTCATGTCCAACTCTTTGCATTTCCACGGACTGCAGCCTACCAGGCTCCTTCGTCCATGGGATTTTCCAGGCAAGAGTACTGGAATGGGTTGCTATTTCCCTTTCTCCTTACCGCAAGCATTTTCCAAAGATTTTATTCATGCTGACACTCTACTAGGGTCTTGAAACATAAGAGAAGAATAAGACATTGTTTTTTTCTGCCAAGTAGCTGAGTAAGTGACCTGTTGTACCATCTCTCTATTCACATTTCAATCCAGACTCAGGGCAAAGGAGGGAAGAAAGTCATCCAGACTGATGAGTGGAGGAATGGCCCTATTGAAGAACGCCTTGAGTACGCTCTTGTGAAGGTGAGTGTGGGCTGGAGGCTGGCTGCTGGTCCTGGTGGCTGATGGCCCGGCTGGAGGAGCGGTGCTGGCAGCAGCTGACCAAGGAGATTCGTGGACTGCTCCTGAGAGATTTGCCCTCCGTCCTACCCCCGTGTCTAGTGCGTTTGGCAGTATCTGGAGATGTTGCTGGTTGTTCTGACTGGAGTGGGAGGTTTTTACTGGCATCCAGTGACCAGAGATACTGGTAAACATTCTCCAGTGCACAGGAGAGGCCTGCACCACCAAGAATGGTTCAGTGCAAACTGCCAGTAGTGCCAGCGGTGAGGGTGCTACTCTCGACCATGTGGCTGTCACCTGATCAGCAAGTGAGTTCTGGCTCTTCTGCTGTAGTTAAGAGTTTTAGTCCAGATAGGTAGTCTCTTGGCTTCAGTTTCCTCATTCCTGAGTCTGAAAATTTCAGGGGTTTTGGGGGGTTTTTTGATCTCTAGAATTTAACTTTTGATTTCTTGGAACTTTTGAGATTCACCTACTTCAGGTTGTGGAGCTAGTCACCCACCTCTTTGGATCCTTGACCTGGGGACACTGGAGGATTTAGGGCTTGATCAGTGAAGGCTTTGTCCTCCCTGTCACATTACAGTGGGAAAACACAGTGATTTCACAGGAGATATTTGTTTATATGTAATCTGTTAAATCACTAGGATAAAAAGTGTATTTTATTATGAATTTGAACTTATTAGTACTCCTTCTGTCACTAATTTTTCACTTTATATCAATAAAATGCTTTATGTCAATAAAGCCATCACTTTACACATTTAATTCTCAAAATAACCATATGAGGTTGGTATTGTATGATTATTAAATGAGGAAACTGATGCTTAATAAGTTGTCTGAATTAGTGATAAGAGCCAGGATTTGAACCCATGCAGTCTGATTCCAAAACCCACACTCTTAACTATTTATTTGTTGTTGGGTGTTTGAACTTCAGCCAATTTTTCCTGTGAATTTTCCCTAATTTTTTGTTTTTCTGTAGGGCATTGAAAAATATATTATTGAAGATACTGAGGAAGCCAGGTTAAACCAGGAAAAATATCCCCGACCTCTGAATATAATTGAAGGGCCGCTGATGAATGGCATGAAAATTGTTGGTGATCTTTTTGGAGCGGGAAAAATGTTTCTACCTCAGGTTGGCAAGTGGTGGGGAAAAAGTTTCTCAATTGAAGGAAAGAGCCTTTATCTTTTAATAAATAGTAAATTTGAGTCTGTTTCTCTGGTTTTAATTTTGATAAGAGCCCAGGGGCATTGAGGTGTGATTCTGTTCATTCTTTCTCTGAATGCACTTTTAGGCATAGTCTGAAAAGTCCATCTAGGGTGATGTGGAAGTTAGAGGTCATCTGGACATTCCCAGCATTAGTCTTCATGTTCTGGGCTTCTGTACCACCTCTTACCCCAGCACAAGTCTCTCCCCCCACCCTCCAAATGAAAATAAAACCCAAGATTACTGTAAAGTTAATCTTGTTAAGATTTGATTTGACCAGCCAGTGTTCACCCTTAAGGATGAATACTTTGAAAAGATCATTACCATTTTAAATAATGATATACATTAAATGTTTCAAGTAAAACCAGTAGTCTTAATCTTATTTTGATTTACAGCTGTTACTGACCACATTGATTAACATTGGTACTTTTTGAGACTTCTGGGTTCAGGTCTGTGAGGCATACAAAAAACGAAAAGTCCCTGTTCTTTTTTTTTTTTTTTAACTTTTTAAAATCAAAGTATAATTGATTTTTTAAATTCATTCTATATTTAATTATTCATTGTCTATTCCCCATTTTCCTTCATAGCATTTATCTTTTCTTATAGATTTACTGTTTTATAATTCACATGCAGTAAAATGCGCATGTTTAAAGGATGCAGTTTGATAAGTTTAACATGTCTGTACCTGGGAAACCATCACCACACTCAGGGAACATTCAGTTGTCCTGTGTTAGTCTCCCCAAATCTGGGACAGTCCCACAGCCTTTGTTTTTCATGATGTCAACTTATTGTTTTAACTTCTTATGTTTGAATAAACTTTAGACTTACAGACAAGTTGCAGATGCCGTTTAAGTGATCATGTATCACCCTCAACATATTCCCCTAATGTTAACCTTTTCACCTGATCATAGTGTAGTTATCAGAACCAGGACATTAATACTGATATAATCATGTTAACTAATGACCTTATTCACATTTCACCAGCGTTTCTGCTACTCTCCTCTTTGTGTTCCACAATCCCACACTGCTTTTATCTTGAACAGTTCCTGAGTTTTTTCTGATGACCTTGACTTTTGAAGAGTGTTGTACAGTTTGATAAATGATAGGCCTTCTCTCAGTTTGAATTTTCCTGATGTTTTCTCTTTTTTGGCAAGAATAACACAGAGTAATGCTGTGCCCTTCTCATATCAGGAGGCCCATCATGTTGCTATGTCTCATTACTGGTGAGGTTAACTCTGATCATTTTGTTAAGAGTGTCTGCTACGTTTCTCCACTGTAAATTTTCTTGTAGGGAGAAGCTTTGAGACTGTACAAATACCCTGTTTTGTCATCCTGCCTCTCATGCATTTTAGCATACATTCATGAATTTTATGAAAGTCTGTGTTCTTCTTTGTCTGTTTAACAAATTTGACGTATTACATTTTGTAAATTTGGGGGATACAGTGATACATATTTTAATATGATTGCCATTGAAATAATATTTATCACACTATATCATTATAGTACATTATTGTCTATTCATTATACTGTGTGTTAGATCCCTGTGGCTTATTTACTTGTTACAAGTTTGTACCCTTAAATGTCATCAGACTTATGCTCCCATCCCTATCCCGTGGTAACCACAGTTTCACTCTCTATTTTGTTTTGTTTTTTCTTTCCAGTTTGACTTTTTTTAGGTTCTGCATATAAGTGAGATCATCCAGTACTTGTCTTTCTCTTTCTGATTTATCTTGTTTAGTATAATGTTCTCAAGATCCATCTGTGGTTTTTTGCACATGGCCGGATATCCTCTCTTATCATGGCTGAATGATACTCCATTCTGTATATATACCACATCTTTTTTATCCATTCATCTGTTGATGGGCATTTGGGTTATTCCATGTCTTGGCTGTTATAAATAATGCTGTGATAAACCTTTTGAAATCCTATTTTCATTTTCTGCGGGTTTATACTGAGAAGTGGAATTGCTTGATCATGTGGTAGACCTATTTTTAATTTTTCAAAGAACCTCCATATTGTTTTCTGTTCCCACCAACAGTGTATAAGAGTTCCCTTTTCACCACATCCTCACCAGCATCTGTTGGTTTTTGTTTTCTTGATGGTGACCATTCGAACATATGAAAGTGAAAGTTGCTCAGTTGTGTCCTCTCTGTGACCCCATGGACTATACAGTCCCTGGAATTCTTCAGGCCAGAATACTGGAATGGGTGGCCTTACCCTTCTCTAGGGGATCTTCTCAACCCAGGAATCGAACCCAGGTCCTCCCACATTGCGGGCGGATTCTTTACCAGCTGAGCCACCAGGGGAGCCCAAGAATACTGGAGTGGGCAGCCTATCCCTTCTCCAGGGGATCTTCCCGACCCAGGAATTGAACTGGGGTCTCCTGCATTGCAGACACATTCTTTACCTACTGAGCTATCAGGGAAGCCCTGAGCTATCATGTGTGAATGGGTATCTTAGTGTGATTTGTATTTCCCTGATGATTAGTGATGTTGAGCATCTTTTCATGTGCCTATTGGCCATTTTGATAACCTTTTTAGAAGAATATCTTTTTAGTTCTTCTGCTCATTTTTTAATCAGATTATTTGGGGTTTTGTTATAAAGTTGCGTTAGTTCTTTATATATTTTGGATATTAATCCCTTATCCAATTTATGTTTACAAAATTGTTCTCTAATTCTATAGACTTTAAGGCTCTTCTTTCCTTTTGCATAAGCCTTAACTATAAGTGAATTCTGACACTGGGGATTGAGAAGAGAAGGCTGAGGAGGGGCTTTTGGAGGAGAAGCTTGACACTTGGAGGATGTGAAGAACTTCAGGAAATGATAAGAGGACCTTCTAGGTGGAGGAAAAATAACATGCAGAAGTTCAGAGGACAGAAACTGCAACATTTGATTTCCAGCCTTGTTTTTCTTCTTCTGTACCTGACTGATTAATTTTCCTCATGGTGAGCTCATTCCTCACCCACCCACTGTCAAAAATGGACTCACGTGTGGCTGACCTGAGGTCAAAACATGCATGATAATTTGTGCTAAAATTTCACAAGCAGCCATGTGTAATCATCCAAGTGTTTTGGTAAAGATGCCTGACTCTGTGTATTTTACTCAGGTTATAAAGTCAGCTCGGGTCATGAAGAAGGCCGTGGGTCACCTTATTCCCTTCATGGAGAAAGAGAGAGAAGAAACCAAAGTGCTTACTGGCAAAATAGAAGATGAGGCAAGTCATTTTGTTGGGGCCTGGGGACCTTGTGAGGAATTGGCTCTGGATACTCTTACTGGGCTGCGGGGTAGGGACCTAAGCCATTGGGCTTGACTGTGTCATTGAAGATGAAGCAGAGAAGTGAAACAGCTTTTTTACTAAGTATCAAAATACCCTGGGATTTTCTATAGAGCGTGACTTTGTGAAATGTTTAATAGAAACATTATTTTCCAAACAAAGCTGTGATTTCAAGACAAAACCAGTTCATTCATTCAAACATCTACCAACTGTTTACAGAGCTCTTATCAGGTGCCAGGTAGTGTGACTCTGTAGCTGAAAAAGATCAGTCCCTGCCCTTGAGATACTGTTTGGTTTTGGAAAACCTCTTACCTGAATATTCTCCGTGTGCTGGTCATGTTCTTGGCACCACTGCTGGATTCAGTTCCCGTCTTGTTGGCTGCGCCACCGCAGCAAATCATTAAGCTTTTGACCTTGTTTAGCTCCCTGTGAAGCTCAGTCAGCTTTGGCCCCTGAGATTCTGAATTCTTAAATCTGTCTGTGTTTGTGCATGGCTCTGACGGTAGTGTTCTAAAAATCCCCCTTGCCTTGCATGTCTTTTTCTTTTCTTTTTCTTTTTTTGAGGGAGGAGATGATGACGGAACAACAGTGTTGAAGAAGATAATCTGAGCCCCCTGCCCTGGGCTACTGTGGTCCTTCCCACTCTGATGGGACACGTGCAGTTCACCAGAGCCTCCCTCTCCTTTTACTGCTCACATTTACTAAACATTTATCAGATAGATTTGGGGGTTACAAATACGATCTTCAGTGATGGGGCTGTTTTGTATTTGAATTTAAACTGTTTTTGAGATGATGGAGCACATGATCTGGGTTGAAGCCCCCTCAGTGAACCATCTGGGGGGTTGCTGAGGCTTACAGCCTTCTCTGCACAGAGCACAAGGCTTGGGTTCCAGGTCCATCTTTGAGGGTTGCCTTGGTTGTATTGAATTGCTTTCTGTGTCAACACCTGTCTGGCTCCAGAGAACCAGGTGACCCTAGCAATGCTGAGCTGTTTGACTTCCTCTCCAGGACCCTTACCATGGCACCATCGTGCTGGCTACTGTTAAAGGTGACGTACACGACATAGGCAAGAACATAGTTGGAGTGGTTCTTGGCTGCAATAATTTCAGGTAAATTAGGACCCACCTTTCTTACCTGAGCCCCCTTCTTATTTAAAGTAAAAGCATTAAAAGGTGATTTGTCTTTGGGCAGGGAGGGCAGGGTAGAACTGTGGATGTTAGAGGTTGTTTTTCTTTTTATTCACATGTTTTTGAATTTTCTGCATTAAGCATACCTTTTCAAATGAAGTAATTTAGTAATTATTTAATGGTGTACATTCAAGACAAAAAGAATAGAAAAGAGTATTTGAGCAGGGTCAAACCACCCAGAGGCTTCTGGGGAATTGACATCAGGCCAGAGGCTCAAACGTCGGGCCCCACCCCATGGCCGTATTTCCTTTTTACTCTCAATAAGCTGCCAGATTTTAAAGCCAAGATCTTATTAAGACCTTGGCTAAATAGAGTTTTATAAGAAGGCTTTGACCGTTCTTTTTCCTTTGCTTAGAATGGAACCATGCATGACTCTTAGTATTGATGAAGCTAGTTTTTGAATGTTGTGTACAAGTAAAATCCCTTTCTTACATCTCTCATTATAGTTGAATAATTATTCAGCGCCAATTTATTTCTGTGTGAGAGCTCATGACCCTCAGTAAGAGCATGTTTTGCTCAGATTTCAACATATTCTTTGTAATGAAAAGCCTGATAAAGCTAATGTCTTCTCTGGTCCATATCCAGCCAACGGTCCTTTTGAGGCATAGACTTCCTTCCATGTGCTGTTTTCTCTGTAGAGAGGAGAGGCAGCTGCAGCTGCAGCTGGGCCCCCTTGGGGTTAGGGTTGGAGAGTTCCCGTTGTCAGACAACCATTACCCTCTAAGCCCCTTCCTGCTTTCAAACTGTTCACCCATGTCTGCGTTCAAGGTTAATTAAATGCAGCTAAGAAAGGTTGGGGATGAAGGAGCATTGGCAGTGGCACCTTCTTCCTCTGACTGTCTTCTCAGGCACTTCTGTTTGGCCGCCTGTTCACTATCAAAAGACGGAACATTCTCTCCTAGTTCCAGAAATAAGGAATATTGTTCTTGGAATACATTTATTATTTTTCTAAAGCTAAATATACCAGAGAGACAGTGGAGGTTGTTACAGTAAAATTTTTACCTATAGAATAAGTATTTGGATGAGGAATAAATATTTGATAAGGTGTTGGCTTCCTAAAATCTCTTGACATTTCTGCTGTTGTCTCATCTTTTCAAACCCTATGCTGTTAATTTCTATTTGCATTCATCTCAATTAGTTCAAACTCATTTCAGCTAGTAAATGTTTATAGATCATCTACTACATACCATGCATTGTATCAGAGACACCCAGATGATTTAGTTGACTTTTCTCTATTCAAGAACTTTACTGTTTTTCAGGCTAAAAAGCCAGATATATATTCAATGATGATAATAGGACAAAAACTATTGAAAAAAGGCAATTTGTAGGCAAACTCCCTAGAGCAATTCCTGAGATATCATTGTCTGTGTTTATCCTTTTGTATTATGAAAAATCAGTAAGTAGCTGAGAGAATCATACCAGTAATGTTTCTTCCTCCAGTAAAGGCGTTCTAAGAGGTCAGGGAGAGCTGTGGCATTTCTCCAGGGTGCTACTGGAGCCCGATGTCATCAGTGAAAGCGACTCATCAAACCCAAACGCCTTCCTCCAGCACACCCATCTCCTCTGGCTTGTACACTGGAGGGTCGCTTATTTTTTGCTGGCTTCCCAGGTGACATAGTGGTAAAGAATCTTCCCGCCAATACAGGAGACACAAGAGACCTGGGTTCGATCCCTGGGTCAGGAAGATTCCCTGGAGTAGGAAATGGCAACCCACTCTAGTATTCTTGTTTACAGAATTCCATCAACAGAGGAGCCTGGTGGGCTACCGTGGGGTTGCAAAGAGTCAGACATGACTGAGCACTCACATAATAATGGCAACTGGAGAAACATCTGATAAAATTTTATTCTTTTTGTAAAAAAATCAGTGAATGTGCAAACCTTTTTTCTTTGGGGTCAAACCCCCCTTTGGGTCTTGTGTCTCATAATACATGGACTGTCCACACAGATGGGTTTAATGTTACGATGTCAGGTAGTAGGCAGATGCTCCTGAGATAGGCCTTGTGCAGTGAAGTGTATACTTCGCCTCTGTGTACTTTGTATCTGTGCTCCAGGCTAATGCCTGGGTGAACCACCCAGCCAGTTGAGTGAGTCTAGCAAACCATCTAGTAAGACAACTTTTTCATTCCCAGCTCTTTGTCGCTGGTCAGTAAATCTCATGAAATGCTCAGAGTTCTTTGTGGGGGAAAAAAGAAGTACAAAGGACTCAAAGTGATAGTTCTGTCTACGCAGAAAAAGCACATTTTTTAATGGGGATGATGCAATAGAATTTGCAGATTTGAGAATTTGAATAGATCTGGGGATATGTCCACCTTAGGTATTAGAGTTTACTCATACCTAACATTTATTTAACACTTCACAATTTATATAGTGCTGCTTTTATATAACTGGTTTTTCCTTTTTTTTTTCTTTGTATTTTTTTCCTAATTTCTTTCTTTCTTTTTCTTTTTTACTGTCCTTCATTCTTTTTTTCTTTTTACAGTTTTGATCCTGCTTTGCCTGCCTCAGTTATTGTACTTCTCATTTTACACAGCTAGCAAGTGGCAGGCCATCCTCAGGGCTTTTGAATCCAAAAGTCAGGATTCTGTATTGTGTCAGTTTAGCTTTCAGTATTTATTCCAGTTTCAAGCAACTTTAACTGTAATGTCTAATATTAATATTCCAGTTTAATTCCTCTTTAGAAATAATTTAGAATATTTAAACATATTTTGATCAGATATTTGATTACATTAAAGTTGAGTTTAGAAAAATAATTATTATATAAAAAGACAAATGTAGACTTTTCCCATTTAACATAATGCACACTGTTCAATTGGATAAGAAAAAATAGGATGTAATAACAAAATTTTAAATTAAATATCATACATCTAGTACTTTTAAAAATATGGATCTGGTGAAACAGATAATGAGACGTATTTTCGTATTAATCAGTGGTTCTTAATATAACTGTCTAGGATGGGTAAATAATATATAGTTAAGAAGGGAACACTTTAAAACTGTATAATGCTAGAGTTTTCAGCTAAGTGAGGAGAAGGAGTGTATTTAAGTCAAGGGCACACTAATCCAATTTTTCCTAGCACCTTACGGGTTCTCTTGACAATTATTTGGGTGCATTCAACTGTTGTATTTGTGTGCTTTGCAGCTTAATTGAAATAGAATTGACATACAACATTGTGTAAGCTTAAGGTGTAAAACGTTGATTTATATACTTATATGTTGCAGTATGATCACCACATAGTGTTAGCTAACCCATCACATAATTACCATTTCTTATTTGTGGTCAGAATGTTTAAGATACACTTTCTTAACACTCTCAAGTATAGCATGCAGTGTTGTTAAGTCTGTTCAGGTCCTGTGTATTAGATCCCTAGAACTTAGTCATCTTCCAGCTGGAAGTTTGCACCCGTGACCAGCATCTCCCCATTTCCCCCCTACAGCCCCTAGTAACACCTCTTCTACTCTGTTTCTGTGCATTCAGCTTTTTAGATTCCACATATAAGCCTATATCATACAGTATTTTTCTTTCACTCTGTCTTATCTCAGCATAATGCCTGCAGGGTCCATCTATTGTTTCAGTTGAAAGATTTCTTTCCTTCTTATGGCTTCTTAATGGTTTCACTGTATGCATATATCACATCTTTATCCATTTATCTGTTGACACAGGGCTTAACCACAGGTTGGAAAAATCTTGGTTAGGACTGCAAACTGGTACAGTACTCCCATCTAGTGGTGGTATGTGTGAATTGCAGGATCAGAAGACACTACCACCTTTAACTTCACCTAATGGATGTGAGGCACTCTAAGAAAAATTAGTTTTTAGTTTTTAGTTTTGCTTTTTAGTTCTTTCTGGAGAGTAAAAGGGGCTTTATATATTACAAGATTTATTTTCAAAATTTTATATATTCTTAAATAATTTTGGATGCCTTTGCTAAGGCATTTGGTGCAGCTTACCTTTTTGTCTGAATTAGAAGCCCAAATTAAATGCTTGTGTTTACAGCTCTGTTATAATCACTTTAAAATGATGATTGTAAAATTTTGAAATTTCCATAGCATTCATTTTTATTTTCTTTAATTTCTCATGTGGCAAAATAAAAGAATGTGTATAAGAAGAGGCTTACAGACATGGGATATAGCTCAGAGTGCAGAAGGGAAGTCAAGAGAAAGCCAAGGGAGGTGTAGAGGCATGTGGGGGAAGCAGGGAATTGTAGTGAAGGGGAGAGAAAATAGGGAGGGGTGGTGGGAAGGATGGCGGCAGGGAGGGATGGGATCGGCCCAGGCTTCAGGTCCTTTCCTTCAGCCAGAGTTCCCCAGTGCCAGTTGTGCGTGATTCTAGACCTTCGTTGCACTGGTCTTTACTGAATGGCCCTCTTCTTTCCTTCACCTGGCTAATACTGCTCAAGATTCAGCCGATGTTACCCTCCCAGAATCCTTCTAAAACTGGTGTCCAGGTTAGATGGTCTCTCACAGCACACTGTAAAGGCCTCCTTCCTGGCACTTACCGCGCTGTATTCTAATTCAGAACTTGCCAGCAGTTTCTCAACTCACATGTGCCCAGAAACAGATCCCCTTCTTCCTCCAGGATGTGACTGAGGACAACCCCAGTCCTCGATTGGTTGACGCTGGTGGCGAGTAGCCTCCTTCCTATATCCCAGTCCCATAAATACTATTTTCTAAGAATGGAAAACATTATAAAGTGCTCCTCTAAGCAGTGATATATTTGACTGTTTCCCAACAAAGCTTCTTAAAACAGCCTAACAAGTTGGAAGTTGAACTCGTCATAATGTAGGCCCCTAGTTCACTGTGTCCAGATGTTACAACCTGCCGAGCCCCATCATCAACCCCTGCAGCATGTTTTCTAATGGCTTAGTGCCCTGAAGAGTCATCATTGATTTGAAATTGTCCGCATCTGAGGATTTTCTATGTGCTAGTGTATTTTTTTAAAGAAATTTAATATGATAACAAGCTAAAAAATCCAGCTTACATATAAACAGGTATATAATGAGAGCAACGCTCCTTCCTGCCCTTGGTGTTCACCACCCACTGTTAACAGCTGCTGTGATGTCAGGTGGTGGTTCTTAAGCCTTGCTTTTTTTTTTAAAATTTAAAATCATTTTGTCTGTTTAGTTATTTAAGAATTGTTGACATTAGGAAACAAAGGAAAATGTGCACTGTAATTTTTAAAACATCTTTATAACCAGTGCTCATGATGAAATTAAACTGTCAAAATGATGGACATCCTTGGTACTCTCTAACTCTAGAATACAGTAGTAGTTTATATAGCATTTTCCAAGGCTAAAATCCCATTTTCTCTGAGATCCAGGAAGCCGTCTCCTCCCTGAGCCGCAGCTTCGTGGAGTCGCTCTGTCTGAGCATGCTCCAGGCTTCTCCGCCCAGTCCCACTCTCCCCGTGTGCCCACCGTGGTCTGCTCTTCCTTTGAGTCTCGCTCATGTCTTGTGGTAGCTGTCCTCTCATTTGTTCTCCCTCTCCTTTGACTTCTGGGAGATTCCATTCTCATCAGCTTTTCATGTACAGGAACTGATCTCTTCTTCCTTATCCTTATTGTTGGTTTCCACGTAAGGTATACTGTTCAGTAGATATTTATGAAGTGAACTTTCTAACGTCTTTATTGGCCTCCATGGCTAAGAAGATGAGTTTTTGTGTCAGATCCTGGTTCAGACCCCAGCACCACTACTAGTTAGTTGTCTGGCTGGACAAAATGCTTAACTTCTGGGCACATGCTTTTCTGGGCCATTCCTTATTAAAAATGTAAAAATCATGTTTTCAAGACTTAAAAAAAAAAGCGTATTCTTTGGTAAAACCTACCTCAAAATCAAATTTAAAATAGGAATCAAACATCATAAAAATATGTATATTGCTTAATGCAATAATCCCATTTATAATAGTCCAATGTATATATTTGGATAAATACATGAAATAAATATATGAAAACACCTCCCCCTGCCCTGCCCAGAAAAAAATACACAGGCCCCGTGATCGTGCTTCCATGTACAGTTCCTGTGAGGGTTAAACAAGATTGTTTATATATAGAAGGCTTAGCATAGTGGGAATATCCCAGGTGCCCATTGACAGATGAATGAATAAACATCTGGCACATTCATGCAGTGAAATATTATTCAGCCCTAAGAAGGAATGAAGTTCTGCCGTAGGCTACAGTGGGGGAGGAACCCTAAAGGCGTTAGGCTAAGTGGAATAAGCCAGACCTGGAAGGACAAATGGTGTATGAGCTCTCTTGTAGAGATGCCCAGGCACGGCGAGCTCATGGGGCTGGAAGGCAGAGCACAGGCGACTCGCTACTGAGGAGCTGCAGAGCTGTTCAGGGCGGTGAGGGAGTTTGGGATTAGACGGTGGTGACGGTCACACAGCACGCGACCAGCTAGTGCCCGTCAACCGTACACTTAAAAATGGTTAGAATGGCACGTTATGTGCTATGTATACTTTACCAGAGCTTAGATGATAATGTCCTCTTCCAAAAGCTACCTTAAACGGGTGAATTAGGTGCTCTGTGGATTGTGTCAGCGAAGGTCTTTAAAAAAGCCCCTGCCCATGGTCAGTTCCTAATCAATGGCAGCCATCAGTGAGTTGCTTGTCAGTGTTTGGTGAGCTTTTCAGTGTGATTCCAGTTTATATGAGAGCAGTCTTTAATGGCTAAATAGAAATGTTCCTTTAGCTTTTTTGATAATTAATGGGATCTCGCTAATTACCTCATATCTTGTTTCTGTACCCCAGAGTCATCGATTTGGGAGTCATGACTCCGTGTGACAGGATACTGAAAGCCGCTCTGGACCACAAAGCAGGTATTGTGCACTTGGGCTCCTGGGCGTTTCAGTGAAGTGTGTTCTCCCAGAGTTCGCTGGCGGGGGCGGTGCCCCAGCCCATGGAGGCTACCGGGACACGCGGACACCTCAGTGACGTCTCCTGCCTGGAGGGTTCTGTCACTGCTGCTTATAACGGGGGCTAAAGGGGTGAACGGGTAACTGTGAGACTCCTATGTAGTTCTGAGGAAGGGGTATGGGGACACGCTTCTTAGAACAATTTGTATTAGATTTTATTTTTCTCTGTGTGTATTTGTTCTTATATTTCTTTTGACACTGTGACATATCCCATCTGGGAAATCATGAACTAATAGCTTCGTGGCTTTTCCCAAAACAGTGGCAATCAGATTATTGCAACTTGAAGTTGCAAATCATATTTACCACCAAAAGCATACAATAAATTGAAAACCCCCAGTCAGAAAAGAAGTCTCAAAATTATTAATAAAAATTGGGAATTTATCTTCTGGCTTGTGGTCTTTATCACAGAGTTTTGAAAATGAGTCTTCATACTTTTACTCTTTTTCTCTCATCCTCCTTTTCAGTGTTCTTTTTTTCTTTTTTTGAAATAATAGATATAATTGGCCTGTCAGGACTCATCACTCCTTCCCTGGATGAAATGATTTTTGTCGCTAAGGAAATGGAGAGACTAGCTATAAAGATCCCATTGTTAATTGGAGGAGCTACCACTTCCAGGTGAGTCATGTTAATGAGCTTTGTGCCTCACTGAAATTTTCTTAGATGCTAGTGTTTAAAAACAATGGTAAAACCTGAGGTTTTTCCCTACGCAGAGTGCCTTGGCTCCTTGTTATATAAATACACGAACTTTCTAGTCTTCATGCCACAAGAGCCAGAATAATTTGGGGGCCTGCTGCAGGAAACTCCTCCATCACTGCCACCCCCCACCTGTTTTTGGATTCCTTTGGCCTATAATCCTCTTTCCCTTAATCCTCTCGCCTCCTGTTCAGTTCCTGAGACTTCTAATGAGCACTTACAGCTCCTGCAATCAAACTGAGTGAAGATGGGTGTTTTAGCACAAAGGCATTGCTTGAAGTTTACTCCACTCTCTGTCTTGAAGCAGGTGTCTGAATAATTACAGGCTCTATTGAAGAAACTCTGACCTTGTAATAGTTGAGATAGAAACCTGACTGAGAGAAAATGAATCAGAGGATCACTTTGGGAAGTTGTTTCTGAAAAGGAGACCTTTTGGGAACCTCTGGGTCAAATAATTTAAAGAAGAGAAGGTTCAAATTTGGTTGCACGGTCATTATTCATTTTGTCATATATCTCCTGGGGTCACGATCATAACGATATTCAGTGAGAGGTATGTTAGTTAGAGGTCATAGACTTTTATGACACATTCCTTATGCCCCTCATAGTTCACTTTGGCAGGGAGCAGTGCCCAGGTAGAGCACTGATCCTGATGGTCGCACAAGCATGTAGTTTGTTTCTGATACAAAATACAGTAGATGGCAGGTCAAAGCTATGCAGAGTTCCTTTCACACTAGAAACAACTGTATGTTAAGCCACTTGTAGTAGTTAGGAATCTACAAACAGGATGTGTGTCTGTACATGGGGCATGGGGGGGAGGGAGACAGAGGGAAATTGATTTTAAGGAACCATCTCATGTGATTCTGGAAGCAAGAATCTCTGAAATCTGCAGAGCAGGTGGACCTACTGGAGGCCTGGCAAGAGTTGCTGTGAATCTTGAGTCCAAAGGCCGCCTGGAGGAAGAAGGCCTCCTTCCTCTGGGAACCCCAGTCTTTTCTCTTTGTTGTTGTTCAGTTGCTCAGTCGTGTCTGACTCTTTGTGACCCCATGGACTGCAGCACACCAGGCTTCCCTGTCCATCACCATCTCCCGGAGCATGCTCATACTCATGTCCATTGAGTCTGTGATGCCATCCAACCGTCTTGCCCTCTGTCGTCCCCTTCTCCTCCTGCCTTCAATCTTTCCCAACATCTGGGTCTTTACAAAAGAGTCGGCTCTTCCCATCAGGTGACCAGCATACTGAAGCTTCAGCTGCAGCTTCAGTCCTTCCAATGAATATTCAGGACTGATTTCCTTTTGGATTGACTGGTTTGATCTCCTTGTAGTTCAAGGGACTCTAAAGAGCCTTCTCTAATGCCACAGTTTGAAAGCATCGATTCTTTGGCACTCAACCTTCTTTATGGTCCAACTCTCACATCCATACATGACTATTGGAAAAACCATAGCTTTGACTGTACAGACATCTGGCATCAAAGTAATGTCTCTGCTTTTTAATACGCTCTCTAGGTTGGTCATAACTTTTCTTCCAAGGAGGAAGCATCTTTTTAATTTCATGGCTGCAGTCACCATCCACAGTGATTTTGGAGTTAAGAAAATAAAGTCTTTCACTGTTTCTATTGTTTCCCCATCTGTTTGCCATGGAGTGATGGGACCAGATGCCCTGATCTTAGTTTTTTGAATGCTGAGTTTTAAGCTAGCTTTTTCACTCTCCTCTTTCACTTTCCTCAAGAGGCTCTTTAGTTCCTCTTCACTTTCTTCCATAAGGGTGCGTATCTGAGGTTATTGATATTTCTCCTGGCAGTCTTGATTCCACCTTGTGCTTCATCCAGCCCAGCATTTCACATGATGTGCTCTGCATATGAGATAAATAAACAAGGTTACAATATACAGCCTTCTCTTAAGGTCTTCATTTGATTAGATGAGGCCTACCCATATTATGGAGGGTAATCTGCTTTACTCAGGGCCTACTGATGTAAATGTTACTCACATGTGAAAAATATCCTCACAGAAACATCTAGATTGTTGTTTGAACAAAAACCAGGTACCATGACCTTGCCAAATTGGCACATGAAATTGACCATCCTCCCACTTATAATCTGAATAGAACATTTTCATGAGTGGTCACAGTGTTCTGTCTCCACTAATTGCTTTTCATACTTGGAGAACTCAATAGTGTGGTTATTATTGCTCACGTTAGAAAACTGGCTTTGTTTTTCCACAAAGAACTTAACCTGCTAGGATTATGTGACAGATTGTTCTCCAGGAATATGACTAACTGTCAATAACTGGGATTTCAATGAGCATAGTTTGGGTAATTGAATGATTATGATTATAGTGGGAATATTCATTAGCTTAGTAAAGAGAATGGTAAGAGAATCTATAGATTATTGTCAACATGAAAGACCTTTTAAAATCACAGTTATAAAATAGGAATAAAGAAATATTTAAATGAGCAGATGTAATGAAATGCATTATGAGTTATGTGAATGTGATGCTAGTTTCCAAATAAGAAAGATTTTATGAGGACTCTACACTTGGAAGTTCAATATCAGGAAACCACATCCTGCTACTTGTTCAAGCTGGAACACTGTTGTTGTTTAGTCTCTAAGTTGTGTGCACTCTTTGTCACCCCGTGGACCATAGCCTGCCAGGCCTCTCTGTCCGTGGGATTCCCCAGGCAAGAATACTGCAGTGGCTGCCATTTTCTTCTCCAGGGGATCTTCCTGACCCAGGGATCAAACTTGCGTCTCTTGTGTCTCCTGCATTGGCAGGCAGGTTCTTTGCCACTGAACCGCCAGAAAAGCCCAAGTTGGAACTTTACCAATGGTTAATTCTGTTATATCTCTCACCAAGTAAGAGCCAGCAGATTAAAGAGGTTCCTTAAAAGATAATAGAAAGTAACATGACTAGCCTCTCAAGGTATATCGTTGGCAACATTAGCCATAAATGAATCTTAACAGTTATAACCTGGTATATCAAGTTAAAATCAGTCAGATCAGTAATGACCCACAGTCTTCATGCTCTTGTAGAATATCTGTTCTCTCTGTCTGGAAAACTGAAGGTGTTCCTCTCAGGAGACAGACATCTGGTTCCCATGATCTCCCAGGTCTCTTTAACTCCAGTATTCTGTTTTTCCATGAGTTTTTCTGGTTCTCTTCCTTGCCTGTTACAGTTTCTGAAAAATTATTAGAAAATAAAAGCCAGTAGTCGTGCTTCCAGGTAACCATCTCTTTCTCCAGTTTTGCCTGCATTTCAGCTTTGTATAAGTGGATTCCATTGATACGACTTATATACTTAATCTACTGTGTATATTCTTCTGTGTTCAGCTCAACATTATGTCTTTAAGGCCCAAACTCATTGTTAAGAGTAGTGGGGGGGGGGTTTGGTTTGATTTTTCTTTTCACTTTGTGGTAAAATATTGAATTGTATAATGCCCTCTGGATTATTTATCCTTGCTACTGTCATGGGCATTTGGGTTTTTCCAGTTTGGGGTTGTTACGTGGAATGCTGCTATAAATGTCTATCTTCCCTGAAGCAGACTTGCTGGGTCACAGAATGTACATATGGTCATCTGCATTCCATGGACAGAGGAGCCTGGTGGACTATAATTCACAGGGTCACAAAAGTCAGATACAACTTAGTGACTATATGGCAGCAACATCTGCATTAGATATTTATTGCAGGATCTTTTTCCAAAGTGATTGTACTAATTTATACTCCCACCAGCAATTATGAGGCTTCTGGTTATTCTACACCTTTTTCAGTGTTCGCCATTTTAGTATGTACATAATAATATCTTAATAAGATCTTCATTTATATTTCTCTGCTGACTAATGATGTTGAGTACATTTTCACATGTATATTGACAATTTGGATATGCTTTTTGAATTTTTTCTTTTTAAATTAGGTATTTCACTATTTTTCTTAGTAATTTGTATGCATTCTTTATTCACATTGGATGCAGCTCTTTCTCAGAAAGCGTTAGTCTCTCAGTGGTGTCTGACTCTCTGTAACCCCATGGGCTGTAGCCCCCCAGGCTCCTCTGTCCACGGAATTCTCCAGGCAAGAATACTGGAGTGGGTAGCCATTCCCTTCTCCATGGGATCTTCCTGGCCCAGGGATCAAATCCTAGTCTTCTGCACTGCGGGCAGATCCGTTACTGTCTGAGCACCAGGGAAGCCCTGTCGGATGTTCATGAAGTCTGACTTCTGCATCTCTTCCCTTATGGCTAGTGCTGCTCGCATCTGTAGGAAGCCATCTACCCTAGGAGAGTCGGCTTTGCCAGAACGCATTCAGGAGTCGACACTCTCAGAAGCCATCTGAGAACCTTATCATCACCTCCTACAGATCTGTCGAGGGAGGGCTTAGCAGTGGCCCAGTTCTTTCCTCTACTAACTCCTTTTTGAGCAGATGGAGGCTCCGGACTTCCAAGTTCTCATGAAAGCAGATTTCTGAGGGGAATAGCAGCATGGCTTTTCCAGTAGCAAGAGAGAATTAGAACTGTTCCCCCAGACACTCGAAATGAGGCTTGAGGATGGATCCTTGGAGAGGCTGAAAGGGTTATACAGATTTGGGATCATTTGTGGGTAGAAATGTGCTTGGAGGGGCCCTTTTAAACCTATAGCAATAAGAGAATAGAAAACTGAACAGTTTACTGTCTGTAATACAGATGATTTTGTATCACAAACTAGAAATGACTTTAATAGAAATCTGGCCCTTTTAGCTATAGAACTTCTCAAAGGCAAAAGTCTGGCAGTTAGCTCTCAGTTTTTAACTGGTTTAAAGCCAATAGCTGCAAAATGTCCTTTTCTATTATCTTTTGTGTAATTTAACTTGGAGAATTCAACAGGAATTCACATTGCCCAAAGTGGGAGGTAATTTTCTGAGTTTTGTTTTGTTTTTTTAAATTGCTCCAAAGTATGGTGCTGAATCACATAACTGATAATATTTTCCTCTGTATAAGATTTCATGGAATGAATTTTATATGCTAATCTCACTCCTGATTCTATCTTAATTTTCCTGAAATTTATTTTCCATTCTTTCATTTTTCTCTTCACATTTTAAGTTTTGGTCATGCTGCATTTATGTAAAACATTTAATTCTGGGATAGGATATGGCATGAAATAGATGCTTGGAGTATGTGTTCTTTTTCAGAATGTGAAAGAATTTATTCTTATGCCCTCTTAGATCAGCTGCAGCCTGCAGCTGGGGGCAACTTTGTGCTAGCAGTTCCACAGGCTCAGGGAAGACCTCCATATTAGACACTTTGCACAAATGAGGCCTAATCCACACTGGTAGCGAGGTGGGAGACCTTGGGCTAGGGCTGACAGTGCCAAGGTTAGTCGGTCACTATGGGAGGTGACTAATTAAATCCTAGATGTTGACTAGTGATTTAGCAGAGATGCATTTGAGATTCAGCCTCAGCCTCTACCCCTTTGCTCTGGGTATGTAGGAAGGAGAGGAGAGATTCCAATGTTTTGCATTTTTTCAGACTTCAGAAAGAAGTCTTCTTCCACCTGGAGAAGTTTGTATAAATGGAGGCTTAGAAAAAAAGTGGAATCAATGTCAAACCAGGAGCATGCTTTTTTAAAAAATTAATTTATTTATTTTAATTGTAGGCTAATTACTTTACAGTATTGTAGCGGTTTTTGCCATACATTGACATGAATCAGCCATGGGTGTACATATGTCCCCCATCCTGAACACCCCCTCCCACCTCCCTGCCCACCCCATCCCTCAGGGTTGTGCTAGTGCACTGACTTTGAGTGCCCTGTTTCATGCACTGAACTTGGAGTGGTGATCTGTTTCACATATGGTAATATACATGTTTCAGTGCTATTCTCTCAAATCATCCCACCCTTGCCTTCTCCCACAGAGTCCAGAAGTCTATTCTTTACATCTGTGTCTCTTTTGCTGTCTTACATATAGGGTCGTTACCATCTTTCTAAATTCCATATATATGTGTTAATATACTGTATTAAGTGTTTTTCTTTCTGACTTACTTCACTTTGTATAATGGGCTCCAGTTTCATCCTCCTCATTAGAACTGATTCAAATGTGTTCTTTTTAATGGCTGGGTAATATTCCATAGTGTATATGTACCATGGCTTTCTTATCCATTCGTCTGCTGATGGGCATCTAGGTTGCTTCCATGTCCTGGCCCTTGTAAACAGTGCTGCAATGAACACTGGGGTACACGTGTCTCTTTCTGTGGTGTGTATGCCCAGTGGTGGGATTGCTGGGTCGTATGGCAGTTCTGTTTCCAGTTTTTAAGCAATCTCCACACTGTTCTCCACAGTGGCTGTACTAGTTTGCATTCCCACTAGCAGTGTAAGAGGGTTCCCTTTTCTCCACACCCTATCCAGCATTTATTGCTGATAGCTGGACAAACTCAAACTTCATGCCTGTGCTCATCCAGCTTGGGCGGTTTTTATGTTGGAAAGGAGTACTTCGGTTTCTTTTGTTTTTTTAAATCATGAAATCCATCCATTTCTTCTCAGTGCCCTTTTCCAGACCATCAAATAGACAATGACCAGAATTGCACTGAGAAACCTTTGATACTTACTAAATATCAATTATGTTGATGTAAACATTTCAATTTTTACCAGCTAGCCTTAAAAGAAATGTCACTGAAATCACATTGGGCCTAAAATATTGTTTCCTGGGGGAGCTTCATGGAGGAAAAAGACATAGGTATATTTGTGTGTTTCAAGTTGCTGGGGAAGCATCTGAGGAAGAGGAAGCATACAGAGTCTGACTTGTGTTCAGTTTTGAAGCTGGAAGCAACTCCTTCTTTATAACTTTTCCTCTTGTTTGAAAATCTTCCCCGCCTCATAGACTGCCCAGGGTAACTTCAGAATCTTTGGTCTCCAAGCACACAGTAGGCACAGATGCTCCTGAGGAGGCCGTGGCATTCCTTAGGCTGCTCGAGGGCGGCGGTGCGGCGCCCCCTGCTGGTGGCCACCCCAGCCTCCCAGTCCAGAAGGCATCTTCTGCGCTGGCTGGTCTAGGCTGAACTCCATCTGACAGCCCGGTTCTGGGGGCTTTCGTCCTCTGCTTTCTATTTCTGTAGAGGAATATGCTGAGAAACGGGACAGGTGAAATGTTAGAGGTTTTGTCTGTCTCATTGTGAATGAGTTTTTAGAGTCTTTCCTTAGAAGCCTATTAAAAACACACTCAGATGTTATACCTTTTTTTTTTTTTCGGTTTTCAAAAATTGCCTCAGTAATTCACATTTATTAGAACATGTCAAAGAATTCATAAAGTAAACTTTTGTCTCTTCCTTCCCAGATTCAGTCCCAGTTCTAATCTTCATGTAACCAGTGCTGACATTTTGATATCTGTCTTTGCTTTTTCTATTATACAGCCACTTTAAGGTTGGTTGGTTGGTTGGGTCAGGTTGAGGTTGTTAGTATTTTGTTTTGTTTATTTTTTAAATAAAATTATTTTAAACATAGTTTTTGCTAATTTGATTTTCCCCTGTAAAATTCTGTACATCTTTCCAAATGGGAATATATTTTAGTTGAGGGGAAAGAATATGAAAGTATATGACTTAGGGAAAGCTGCTGCTGCTTTAAGGGGGAAAGAAGGAGGAGAGAAGACTGGAAACACTGTCCATTTAGTGGGAGTGGGAACTACTGTTATCACCCTTGTACATGGAATTGTGGCAAAGTCTGCACTTCTGTCCCAGCCTCAGGGCCGTAGATTAACCACATGCAGTAAGGAAGGATGTATATATCTTCAATTCTCACTTTAATATGTTGTGCTTTATACTAAAATAGCAGATATGTAGCCTGTGCTATTGATACAAACGTTCAGCAATCAGAGAGCAATTTGTTGGTAAAATCAGGTAATTTTAAGCATTAAAGAGTGTTTCTTCCTCAGAACTGACATTTTCTGGTTTGGTGAAAGAAATTGGGGGCTGAGCCAGTGTTAGGATAAGATCTTGTTGCTTTGACCTCTCTCTATTACTGTGTGTTGAATTTATTTAGGTCCAAGTTTTCTTCCGACAAGTAGAAGGTGGGCTTGGGTTGGAGGAGTGTTGGTGTCTCTTGGTGGGAGGCGGGGAGCAGCAGCTGGGGAGTGGTCCCATGTCCCCTGCCACTGTCTGCTTCTCCAGGGACTCTGGCTGATGGCCCAGTTCATCTGCAGGAAAACACTCCACTTTGACCTTTATGACAGCAAAGTGCAGTCACCAGGCCAGTCTGATCCCATTGGCAGAGAGCTGAGGACATTGCTCTCTTTTGATCCTAGACTTCTTTGTTGCCTGGGCCAAAAATCCATGTCTTTTCCCCTTGGCTTCCCCATGTTAGGGTGGGGAGGAGGTCATTCTCGCTTTTGAAGGGGTATGCCGTATTTATAAGTACTGTGAGATTTTTCTCTGGAAAGCACTGTAGAAACATTATCTCCAATGGTTCTGAACAGGAGTTGTGTAGCAACTGCCAGCCCTGACGGATGTGTTTTCCCCCCTGACCCCTCTTTTCAGAACCCACACAGCAGTTAAAATAGCCCCAAGATACAGTGCACCTGTGATCCACGTCCTGGACGCGTCCAAGAGCGTGGTGGTGGTAAGTGTGGGCCTCATGTTATTGCAGATCTGTTGTAATGAGAAAATGAGAGCATTGCAAGTTAAGGGTATTGCCCAAGATCTTCTGTTTATTTTTGTCCTGTTCTACTAAAAAGAATCGTCAAAGACTGTCCTAGGGCTTGTGGTAGGGTCACTGCAGGCATCTGCATTGCCAGAGGAGGGTGGGTCAATGTGTCCTGTGCCTTCTGGGACCTCTTCCTGAGCCAGCATCGGCAGTGCTGGTCTGAGCAGCAGAGAGTGATGCCAGGACACAAGCCCAGAGGGGGGTTTCAGTCATTTACGAGTATTTACAAATATGAATGGGCACTTTCTTAACTCCAACTCAGGAATGTAGAATTTATCAGTTTTTTTAAATTGAAGTATAGTTGATTTACAAAGTCATGTTAATTTCTGCCGTACAGCAAAATCAAGTCACACATATTTATACATTCTTTTTTTTTTTTGAGTATTCTTTCCAATTATGGAATGTAGTTCCCTGTGCTGGACAGTGGGATCTTGTTGTTTATCCATCCTACACATAAAGCTTACATCTGGTAATCCCAACCTCCCGATCCATCTCTCCCCCTATTCCCTCTCCCTTGGCAGCCGCCAGTCTGTTTTCTATGTCCATGATTCTGTTTTTGTTTCAGAAATATATTAATTTGGGTCTTGTTTTAGATTCTGCATGTAAGTGGCATCATATGATATTTGTCTTTTTCTGACTTCACTTAGTATGATAATCTCTAGGTCCATCCATGTTGCTGAAAATTTCGTTCTTTATTGTGGTTGAGTAATAGGAATGTAAATTTTTTTAAATAACCCATTTCCAGATAGAAAAATGTTTAAACTGAAATGGGCCAGTTGACCCTACCTGAAGACAGAAAAACATTCACAGATATATGTTGAAAACGCAGAATTTAGTGAATATAATAAACAACTTACCTTAGTGGTTTTTTTCTGCTTTTCTCTATCATGAAGCCTAATACTCTCTCTTGTTATGTGTTTCATTGTATTCATTGAATAATGGGACATAAAAGCTGTTGGGAATCTGAGTGACCATGTGATCCAGTGGTTTCCAAGTATGTTTTTGCCACAGAAACCTTTGCAAGTGACGTCTTTTCTGGAAACTCAGTGGGCAAACCAGAGTGACCCCTTCCCCTCTCTCATCTCACTGCTGTTTCTCATCAAACAAGAACAATTTAAACATCACTCATCTAGCCTAGGGATTCCCGGGTGGCTCAGTGGGTGAAGAGTCTGCCTGCAGTGCAGGAAACCTAGGTTCAGTCCCTGGAGGAGGGCATGGCTGCGCACTCCAGTGTTCTTGCCTGGAGAATCCCGTGGACAGAGGGGCCTGGCGGGCCACAGTCCTTACAGTTGCAGACAGCCGGACGTGACTGAAGCAGCTGAGCGCACACAGCACAATCTAGTCCAGCCTTCACATTTGCAGGCAAGGAAGGTCGCTGAGGGGCCTGGCGATTTGTGACACTACCAGGCGCTGTCCCAGCCTGGATGAGGGCCACCACGCTTCCCAAACCACTTTCCAGAGGAATTCTTTCAGACCTGTGAATTAAAGTTGTTCAGTAACCACTAACATTATTAAACATTTACAGTGTGCTAAGTGCCCAGCACTGTGCTAAGTGCTTTACATGGACTTTTTATTTAATTCTCATGAGGTAGATATTTTCATTAGAATCCCCGTTTTAGAGGCGAGGAAACGGAACAGAGAGGTCAGTAACTCTTGAGGCCACAGATCCCTCAAGCAGCAGGTGTGGATTGGAACACAGGTGGTCTTATTCTGTGGTGCATTAGTTAAACTTGTTCTGTTAATGTTTAATAAGTCTCCTTTATTAAGGATACAATTAAATTGGGCTGAAATCATAAAATTGCAGTTTTTTAATTTGCCATTGACATAGACTAATGTGCAAACAAAGTACATTTCTACAACTCAGTTTTGAAAAACACTGTTTATATCTTATATTTGGATTGTATTTCCTAAGGAGCTTATTTCAGGTCCATGGTTGAGTAACCAGTGCAACTCTCTTTAAGGCTAGTGGCTATTTTCAAATGCTAATGATCGACTGAACACTTCCCATTTGAAGACCAGGCTGTTGAACCCATTTGAGTACACAGGACTGATACAGCCCCTACAGGTCAGGGCGCACTTTAGCTGGGAAGCACTTGGCCCCTTAATTCCATCTCTAGGACACTCTTCCATTGTCTTGAAGAGCTTAAGCACTATGGGCCCAGCTGGAAGCCCGCAGAGGAGGAAGCGGGGGCATCTGTGTTCTTCACTGTGTGGTCCAGCCGACTGTGGTTGGTTCTTACATACAAAGGAACAGCCACCCTTTAAAATCACTCAGAGATAAGTCTGATGATAAGTCAGTTGGGTAACTGCTGGTGACACATCTGGGGAGTCATTGGTAGAGTTTGTTTAGGCTGACTTGTTTAGATTGATAGTTGGTTTAGAGTCTTTTGATCTCACTGCAGTGAGTACGGCACAGGCTTATGCTCTGGCTACTGGCTCATGTATTTATGTGAAAGATTCCAAAATACAGTAGCTGCTTAATAGTTGGAGATTTACATTGGGGGACGCCCCCTTGCTTTTTTCCTTTTTTTTTTTTTAAATAAAAAACAAGATGCCCAAATTTATTTTCAGTATATTCCCTCTCATTGTGCTGTGACTTGCTATGAGAAAGAAAAAGAGGATAAGAAAAGCTGTACTGTGTCTGATGGTTGGCATGAAAACCCAGGTTGACTCTGATTTTGTGATTGATCATATGGAATAGCCCATATAATTGGCCATGAACTTGTTCTTATTGAGCAAGTCAGCCTGGGCAGGGAGGGGCTTGTCACCACAGCTCTGGGAGCAGGAGTCCCACGGGGGTGTGGAAGGGCCAGCCAACGGAAGCAGCACCTTCCACCTCCCCAGTAGTTCCCGCTGGGTGCTGTCAAGTTCTGGAAATAGGGGGGCTTACCGGGAGCTGGTGATGGACAGGGAGGCCTGGCGTGCTGCGATTCATGGGGTCGCAAAGAGTTGGACACAACTGAGTGACTGGACTGACTGACTGACTGACTTTCCCAGAGTTTAAAGTCTAGCAGAATGTAACTGTTTTAAAATCTTCAAAGCATTGCTTGCATGTGCTCTGGGGACTCAGGAATAGGCATTCCTTCTTGCTTTCATGAGTTCTGCTGAGTTTCCTAAAGGAGAACTCCACTGAGGTGAGGCTTATATAAGGCTGATATGGATACCATCTGGGGGCCTAGTTTTAGGCTTGTCATGATGGCCTTTTCTGATTTTGTTACTTAATGAAGCGATTTGGTCTTATACTCACAGGTGATTGGATTGTTATTAGAGATGCTTGGGCAATTCACATAGAATTCTAGACATTTAAAGCTGATGGGCACTGTAGCTGTCATCCAGCCTAAGTTCCTCCCTTTCCGATAACGATATTGAACTTCCCTGCCTGTTTGTGTGTGAGAAAACCCTGCTGGAGGGCACAGGGATCGGGCAGAGCTGTGATTTTGGGACTGATGTGGTTGGCAGCAGCCATGTCTTTCTTCCTGGTGATAATATTTTCAGCTTTGGTGGCAGCGGTTCTTCTACCAACTTGGCAATCATAGTCATAAGTATACTTGGCTGATGCTGTCTTATAGTTTACTGAGTAGCCTCACGTTTCCCAGATGATCAGTTTCCTTTCTTGTTTTAACAGAAGTTCATGGTTGACTGTGAAGATCAGCCTCATTCTGTCAGCAAACATTCAGTGAGGATGCACCTTCTGTGTGCAGTCCTACCTTCAAAGGGCTTGTCTTAGTGGGGGAAGTAGACACGTAGACAGATGCTGGAAGCCTGTGAAAAGTGCAGTGATGGAGAGATGAAGAGTATCTTTGAAACCCTGAAGAGGGGGTACCTACCCAGTGTGTTGTGGATCCCCAGAACCCCCTCAGTTTCAGTGATTTATTCAGTGACTCACAGAACTCAAAAACGCTGTTAAACTCACAATCACCATTTATTACCATGAATGGATACAGATTAAAATTGAGTAAGATTTAGAAAAGGCCAGGCACTAGCGTCCAGGTGTGTCTCCCTATGGAGCCATATGGACAGGACTTGATTCTTCAACTAATGATGTGTGATAGCATGGATGGAACATTGCCACCTAGGGATGCTGACAGAGCCTGGGTGTCTTGGGCTTTAACTGGAAGTCAGTCACGTAGGTGTGGCATGCTCACTTGACTGACATTACTCACTCAGTCCTGAACCGCTCCAGAGGTCAGACAGACTGCAAGCCAAGTGCCCCCATAAATCACATTGTTAGCATAAACAATCTGGGATGGCCCAAGGCCCCAGGTAGACAAAGACACTGTTTATCACTGAAGGCTTAGTGTTTACCTCATAGGATCTGTCCTCTGTTTAGAACGTGCAGCAATGAAGCGCCCCCAGCCTACTGAGTTAACGCTTTACTGTGTAGCCAGGCAGAAACGAGCATAACCGGTAAATGGAGAGGAGATGACATGACCATAGGAAGGCCTCCTGAAGGTGGTGACCCCAGGACTGACCCTTGTTTTGCCTGTTTTATCTTCTTTCGCTGCTCTGTGGTTGCTGAATTTTGATCTTGCATTTCCAGTGTTCTCAGCTGTTAGATGAGAATCTAAAAGATGAGTACTTTGAGGAGATCCTGGAAGAATATGAAGATATCAGACAGGACCATTATGAGTCTCTCAAGGTAAGTAACAAAAACAGGTCCCCTCTTGTTTGGGCAATAGAATGATCCTACAGTTATTATTGTGATTTTGCTGTTGGAGGAGGGGAAGGTTTGGGATCATTTTAGAAAAGTCCTACTTTCTGCTTCACATCAGCATTCTTTACTGTTCCCAATAATTTTTGGCTATATTAAAATTAATTTTATTTATTCCACCAAACATATATTGAGTAAGCTGTAGGTGTTGGGTGCTGTTTGCTACCCGAGTTATGAGAACGAATAAAACATGAGCTCAGAGGCAGCAGCAAGACAGGAACTGAGACAGTGTGCCGAGATGACCCCCACAGACCCGCATTCTTAAGGAAGTAATGGAGGAGAATGAAGACATCAGGAACATTGTAAGCCTTTCTCCCTGACCGTCCGACGCACTCTGCAGAATAGTGTTTCGAGACCCGCCCTTCTCTAGAGGAGCTTCGGGGTCTATGGAGATTCCTTCTCTAGAGGAGCTTCGGGGTCTATGGAGATTCCTTCTCTAGAGGAGCTTCGGGGTCTATGGAGATTCCTTCTCTAGAGGAGCTTCGGGGGTCTATGGAGGTTCCTTCTCTAGAGGAGCTTCGGGGTCTATGGAGGTTCCTTCTCTAGAGGAGCTTCGGGGTCTATGGAGATTCCTTCTCTAGAGGAGCTTCGGGGGTCTATGGAGATTCCTTCTCTAGAGGAGCTTCGGGGTCTATGGAGATTCCTTCTCTAGAGGAGCTTCGGGGTCTATGGAGATTCCTTCTCTAGAGGAGCTTCGGGGTCTATGGAGGTTCCTTCTCTAGAGGAGCTTCGGGGTCTATGGAGGTTCCTTCTCTAGAGGAGCTTCGGGGGTCTATGGAGATTCCTTCTCTAGAGGAGCTTCGGGGGTCTATGGAGATTCCTTCTCTAGAGGAGCTTCGGGGTCTATGGAGGTTCCTTCTCTAGAGGAGCTTCGGGGTCTATGGAGATTCCTTCTCTAGAGGAGCTTCGGGGGTCTATGGAGATTCCTTCTCTAGAGGAGCTTCGGGGTCTATGGAGATTCCTTCTCTAGAGGAGCTTCGGGTCTATGGAGATTCCTTCTCTAGAGGAGCTTCGGGGTCTATGGAGGTTCCTTCTCTAGAGGAGCTTCGGGTTCTATGGAGATTCCTTCTCTAGAGGAGCTTCGGGGGTCTATGGAGATTCCTTCTCTAGAGGAGCTTCGGGGTCTATGGAGGTTCCTTCTCTAGAGGAGCTTCGGGGTCTATGGAGATTCCTTCTCTAGAGGAGCTTCGGGGGTCTATGGAGGTTCCTTCTCTAGAGGAGCTTCGGGGTCTATGGAGATTCCTTCTCTAGAGGAGCTTCGGGGGTCTATGGAGGTTCCTTCTCTAGAGGAGCTTCGGGGGTCTATGGAGATTCCTTCTCTAGAGGAGCTTCGGGGTCTATGGAGATTCCTTCTCTAGAGGAGCTTCGGGGGTCTATGGAGATTCCTTCTCTAGAGGAGCTTCGGGGGTCTATGGAGATTCCTTCTCTAGAGGAGCTTCGGGGTCTATGGAGATTCCTTCTCTAGAGGAGCTTCGGGGGTCTATGGAGGTTCCTTCTCTAGAGGAGCTTCGGGGTCTATGGAGGTTCCTTCTCTAGAGGAGCTTCGGGGTCTATGGAGGTTCCTTCTCTAGAGGAGCTTCGGGGTCTATGGAGGTTCCTTCTCTAGAGGAGCTTCGGGGTCTATGGAGGTTCCTTCTCTAGAGGAGCTTCGGGGTCTATGGAGATTCCTTCTCTAGAGGAGCTTCGGGGGTCTATGGAGATTCCTTCTCTAGAGGAGCTTCGGGGTCTATGGAGATTCCTTCTCTAGAGGAGCTTCGGGGGTCTATGGAGATTCCTTCTCTAGAGGAGCTTCGGGGTCTATGGAGATTCCTTCTCTAGAGGAGCTTCGGGGTCTATGGAGATTCCTTCTCTAGAGGAGCTTCGGGGGTCTATGGAGATTCCTTCTCTAGAGGAGCTTCGGGGTCTATGGAGATTCCTTCTCTAGAGGAGCTTCGGGGTCTATGGAGATTCCTTCTCTAGAGGAGCTTCGGGGTCTATGGAGATTCCTTCTCTAGAGGAGCTTCGGGGTCTATGGAGCTTCCTTCTCTAGAGGAGCTTCGGGGTCTATGGAGCTTCCTTCTCTAGAGGAGCTTCGGGGGTCTATGGAGATTCCTTCTCTAGAGGAGCTTCGGGGTCTATGGAGGTTCCTGCTCTAGAGGAGCTTCGGGGGTCTATGGAGGTTCCTTCTCTAGAGGAGCTTCGGGGGTCTATGGAGGTTCCTTCTCTAGAGGAGCTTCGGGGGTCTATGGAGGTTCCTTCTCTAGAGGAGCTTCGGGGTCTATGGAGATTCCTTCTCTAGAGGAGCTTCGGGGTCTATGGAGATTCCTTCTCTAGAGGAGCTTCGGGGGTCTATGGAGATTCCTTCTCTAGAGGAGCTTCGGGGTCTATGGAGATTCCTTCTCTAGAGGAGCTTTGGGGTCTATGGAGATTCCTTCTCTAGAGGAGCTTCGGGGTCTATGGAGATTCCTTCTCTAGAGGAGCTTCGGGGTCTATGGAGCTTCCTTCTCTAGAGGAGCTTCGGGGTCTATGGAGCTTCCTTCTCTAGAGGAGCTTCGGGGGTCTATGGAGATTCCTTCTCTAGAGGAGCTTCGGGGTCTATGGAGGTTCCTGCTCTAGAGGAGCTTCGGGGGTCTATGGAGGTTCCTTCTCTAGAGGAGCTTCGGGGGTCTGTGGAGGTCAGGCATGGTTGCTCTTCAGAGGCTGTCAGGGTGTTTCTTCCTGGCTCTCTGCTTACTGGGCTTTGTGTTATGGGCAGGGGATGAATCTGGGGGTGGCCGGCAAGTGGAGTGTGATGACCAGCAGTGGGAGAGGAGCACGTTCCTGAGGTGTTGGCTGGACCGAGGCACTGCGGTTGGTCTGCCCGCTCCCTAATCTGCCCACAGGTGGCTGTTTCTTGGCTCTGCCTTCTGGGCCTCAGGGCAGTTGTGGCCCCAGTGAACCCCAGCCTCAGGTAAAGTTCGGGCAGTAGTCTGCCCCATCGCACGCTTATTTACCTTACAGTTAAGGCTGCAGGCCTGCCTTGCATTTATGTAGCCATGTGTGCCGGATGTGTATTGCATCTTTACTCTCTATTGTTCTGGTGCTGATGTGAAGCCATTTTAGATGTAGCAGGAAGAGTTTTCTAGAATATGAATTTTCATGAATAAGAGCATTTGTTTTCTTGCAAAATATATTTACTAGCTTCCTTGGACATACTTTCATAGTAGCAGCTGAAAATCTAAGAGTCTCTGACTGAATAACTTTTCTTTTTTTCATAGGAGAGAAGATACTTAACCTTAAGGCAAGCTAGAGAAAATGGTTTCCATATTGACTGGCTGGCACAGCCTCCTCCAGGTCTGTTGGGCTGTGGGTTAGAGAAGAGCAGATGTGATAGCTCTGAGATGAAGAGAGGTTTGCATTTTCAGGTCAGCAGAATCAAACAGGCTGCTGGAAACTTCATTATGTTCAGTAGTGATGATGAATGACAATGATGATTGAAAATGAAAGTCAATAGGTGCCATTTATGGAGAACCAAACACTGTCCTGAGATTGAACTGCAGCAGCTCTGAATCCTTGACACAACCCTAAAGTGAATGTGTTATTATCTCCGCTTTAATTTGAAGAAATGGAACTTCAAGTTTGACAGCTTGAAAGGTCACCAACACTCAGTCTCTGCCGTGTCTTCCACACCCTCGTCCTGCCTCTGTGCTGTGCCTGAGTGGGCCTTCATCTGAGGCCGAGACCTGCCTGGGTGGCCGTGTCACCACTTTGGCCTGGGTCCCAGCCAGCCCAGGTGCAGACGCGGAATGTCTGAAACCGCAAACTCCTGCATGTTGAGGAGACCAAGACATTGCCGCGATGCAGGCGCTTCTGTTCTGTTCACTCTCATTCTCGCTCGGACGCTTCCCTCTTGTGGTTTCTTTCCCTTCTGGTTTCTAACCTTTCTTGCCCTGCATAGGTGTTCACGATAATGTGTAAGACATTCTGACAGGTTCAGAGAGGCATGAGATATGAATGCAAAACCGAGACAGAGTGATCAGGGGTTATATTAATTGAATCCATATTTCCAAGGTAATACCTCTAATCTGCTTTCATTGCTCACCTCACCCATGTTCTACACATGCTCAGCAGAGTGATAGGCATTAAACTGGAAACGTAGGTGAGCTGGGTTCTAGATTTAGTCCAGCTGTGTTTAGTGTGATTTAGCGGGAGGAAGGCACATGGAGAGCTGGGAGGCCTGGGTTCTAATCCCAATTTGGCTCCTGGCTCTGAATCCCTGAGTGACCCTGAGCACCTTATTTCCATGTTCGACAGTTTCTAATACGTAAGAAAGGAGTTACTTTATGGAAATGTTGTGAGGATAAAATAAGATAATATGTATAAACCTTTGAAAAATATGCATTACTATACCAGCCCAATCGATGATTTTTGTCTTTAGCTTTCACTATGAAATTGGAAAAATATTGCAAGGGGAAATCCATTTTAGTCAAGTCAAACGTCCAGAATACATCTCAGTAGAAATAGTTCCCTCAAGGTTCACAGTTCCAGGCGGCGGTGGTGGCAGTATTCAAGAGCTCTTTAACCCCCTTGCAGGGCCTCTCAAGGACAGCCCAGTCCTGGCGTATTTTCAGGAAGTCAGTAAAAGGAAAACGAAGGGTTCTTCTTTTCTAGGTCTTTGGTGGTAAAACTAGAAATCTCAAACAAACCTCCAGCTCTGACCAACAAGCTCATTCAAGAATAACACCCTTCAGTCACCCGGAAGCGGAGTGTTTCCCTGCCTTTCTAGGCAAGAGGACACTTCAGTCAGGAGAAGAGCTGTAGTTTCTTTTTAATTACCAAACTAATCAGCAGGATAAAATACTTACAAGGAAGGGATTGTCCCGTATAGTAAAAAGATGACCAGGAACACTGAGAAAAAACTACCATGGGTGGTATAAAAAGGTAGAGATTTCCAGGCAAAATTAAGAAGCTGTGCATACTTTTTCTATACTTTGACCTCTCACTTATACTATCGAATGAGAGAAAAACACTCCTGAAACTTTCTGTGTTATCACTGAGCACCAAAGCGTGGTGGTTTAAGTTCTCTGATCCCTGTTTGCAGATCAGGAAACTGAAGATGTGAGGGCTGGGAAGCGGGCAGCAGAGTGATCACCTTGGACCCTGGCCTGACTCACCCCAGGCTTGGTGGTGCAGGGGGCAGCAGTGGTGTCCAGGAAGCCCAGGGGCACCGTCTGTCTCTGGAGTCTTCACCAGTATTTCACTTATGACTTACAAGGCAGTGTAAAGAAGAATGTATTGAATATCCATGTACCCCTACCAGTCACTTAAGAAGTAACCTACTGCCCATTTTAAAAAGACAGAGCAATACATAGTGGTAATTCCTGTGAGCCCCTGCCTCCCTGGCAGGACCCTGAATCTGATGCCTGGTTTCCATGCATTTCCTTAGACTTCGATCATGTGCATATGTATCAGTGAAAGTGAAAGTTTCTCAGTCGTGTCCAACTCTTTGCAACCCCATGGACTGTGCAGTCCATGGACTTCTCCAGGCCAGAATACTGGAGGGAGTAGCCTTGCCCTTCTCCAGGGGATCTTCCCAATCCAGGAATTGAACCCAGGTCTTCCACATTGCAGGCGGCTTCTTTACCAGCTGAGCCACAAGGGAAACGCAAGAATACTGGCGTGGTTAGCTTATCCCTTCTCCAGCGGATCTTCCTGACCCAGGAGTCGAACCAGGGTCTCCTGCATTGCAGGTGGATTCTTTCCCAACTGAGTGTGAGGGAAGCCCATATATATCAGTAGGCAATATAGATTATTGATCACGTTTTAAAACTTGATGGACGTGGCTTCTTCTGTGTCTTTCTCCTGTGTGTTCTCTTTTGGCGTTACCTTCCTCTGTACGAGTGAAGGTGAACCCAGTCTGTCTGTTTTCTTGGGCAAGGGGAGGGGAAGGGGTTGCGGGAAGTTTCCAAGGGTCATGTAGTCAACCAGCTGCAGGAGAAGAGTTTTATTTAAGATGTGCTGCAGAATCAGTCCCTCTCCACGGTAATTTCGAGTTTCCCTCTTTGTAAAGCAGCTCCTCTGGGTGACAGCAGGGAGGCAGAGCACAGGAGCTGACAGAGCAGGAAGGGGCAGCCCAGGAAGGCTTCTCGTAGGAGGCTCTGGGCACGAAGGGAGCTGGGCCACAGGCCGCCCTGGCCTCGTCGAGGTTGACTGCTCACCCCTTTCCTGCAGTGAAGCCCACGTTCCTTGGGACTCGGGTCTTTGAAGACTACGACCTGCAGAAGCTGGTGGCCTACATTGACTGGAAGCCTTTCTTCGACGTCTGGCAGCTCCGAGGCAAATATCCAAACCGAGGCTTTCCCAAGATATTTGACGACAAAACTGTAGGTTAGTTTCCTAAGTGTTTCTGTCCTGCACTGACATTCGAGACATCGTCTTGGGACCTTGAAGATGAGAATAGGTAGTGGAGTGGTGGGTTTGGATTATGCCGGATGGAGTGTTTTGGTTTTTTTTTGTTTTTTCTTTTGGCTGCACCTCAAAGCTTGTGGGATCCTGACCAGGGATCATACCTGGGCCCTCAGAGTACAGAGTCCTAACCACTGGACTTCTAGCAGATTCCTAGAATTCATTGTTTCGATATGATATAGGATATTGTTTACCTGCTCAGTCCTTTGATGGTTTTCAAACTGCTGGGTTGATTGTTATTTATTGAGTAAACTTGGCATTTCCTTTACCCATTCTGAACTGAATCTTTGTTGACATCAATTACTTGCTGGGCACTGGGGATCCGCAGAGAAGACGTATCATAGCTGCTATCTGGTACCTGCTGGCTGAGGCAGCAGTGGCGGGTGATTCCCATATGACAGACCAGGCTTCTGCTTCAGGGCTAAGCCTGGACCTCTGCGGACACCGTGAGATGAGCTCGAGCTCAAACTGGAAGATCAGGAAAGGCTTCCTGGAGGAGGTAGTATTTGGACTGCTCTTTGAAGATTAGGTGGGAGTTACTGAGGCTGGGCCTGGGAATGTGAGATGGTGAAGGAAGGACCTTCCAGGCCGGGGAGACCGAGTGAGAAGGCACAGGCATGTGGGCTGGTCTGAATGCAAGGAGTCCGTTGTGCCCAGTGGAGGTGAGGGCTGGAGGCGACAAGCCAGTTGATAGATAATCTGCTCTCCCTGCTTCTGTCTTCCAGCCCTGCCCCAGAGACATGGGATCTAAGCCCATGAAGGCTAAGCCCTTCAATGGGTTCAGTAACAGCCAGCTCAGAGCGCAAGGAGGAGTGGACTGCTGGACATGGGGGTTAGGGCTGAGGGGGGGAGCCTGAGAGAGCGCCCCTTGCCCCCCTCCTGGAGGGGTCTCTGGGGTGCATATTAGGATGCTGGGATACAGCGGCTCTCAGGCTCCCCGGGGTGCGGTAGTGAGAAAGGGGCGCTCGTTCTGAAGCGCTCCAGAGTGATGACGGGGCAGTAGAGAGGCCAAGGTGGAGCCGGCTGGTCCAGGCCCTGGTGAAGGCACTCAGGCCCTGCTGGCACGAGCGGAGTCAGGCGAGGCCTGCGGGGTCCCCGCCTGCCGCCCGGGAGCCGCGCCGAGCCCCACTTCACTCTGCAGGCTGCTCTGTGCCCCGGGGGTCACGGCAAGGTCGGGGGGCTGTCTGTGCACAGGGAGCGCGGTGACGGAAGGGTCTGGCCTGCTTTGTGTCACTCTGTCTGACACGTTACTGCAGGGAGTGAGAGCTGGCGCCCTGCCTTTTGTTAAATGGAAAAATATGAGTGGTGTGAGCTGGTGGGGCCGACTGTATCTGGGAGCTGTACTTAGCAGAACCACTGAACCCTCAGCTACTGCACCTGGGGCTGTGCTGACTGCAAACACTGACTTAAAGTATTTGAGAGGAAAAGAGGGATAAGGAGGGAAACTGGGGAGAAGTAGTGGTTTTAAAAAGCTTTCTTTAGTGGGTGTTATTGGCATACCTAAGTGAATTCTTATGATATTTTCCTAATAGGTGAAGAGGCCAAAAAGGTCTATGATGATGCCCAAAATATGCTGCAGGCACTGATCAGTCAGAAGAAGCTCCAGGCCAGGGGCGTGGTTGGGTTCTGGCCGGCACAGAGCATTCACGATGATATCCACCTGTACGCGGAAGGCGTGGTGCCACAAGCCTCGGAGCCCATAGCCACCTTCCACGGGCTCAGGCAGCAGGTATGGAGGCCGTGCTGCCAGCGGACACGTAGCCCTCCTTTTTGGTTTAAGCACTGAAAGATCATAAATAAGATTGGCATAAGTCTGAGCTTTGTGTTAGCATGGCTCCACCCTACCTCACCCCAGATGACCCGTCGCAGTCCTGAGCCCGAGGCTTTGTGATGGAGAGAATGGACCAACACGAGTTTAGAAGCTGGGCCTCAGGTACCAGCAGGAGGAAGGTGTTCCCTGTCAGGTTGGACGGGTGAGGAGAAACGCTGCTTTTGCCTCGGGGTCACACACAGGTGGACATTCACTTGCTCAAGAACGTCGGTTTGGGTCCAGGTCTGTTGTTAAACAGGCTGGTGGCCTCCTTTCTCAAGGGGAAACAGGTGGGAGCAGACTTCCGCTACATGTCTGCTGGGGGCCAGCTGCTTAGTGGAGCGCTTGCTGGACCATCTTGTTTAATTTCCACCCAGCTTGTTGGCAGGCAGTGTCTGTGTGCAGAGGAGAACACGAAGGCCTGTGGCTTGGAGGGAGCCCAGCGTGTCCACACCCCCCACGCCACTGGCTCCTCCTGGTCAGAGAACAGGCTCTTCTGCACATGGCTCCCTCTCTGTGCCCCTGCCTTTAAACATGCGAGTTTTCCAGCATGTCCCTTCAGCTGCTGTAAAAAACAAGGTGTCCTAATCAACTGGAACCAGAATTCCCCAGTCGTTAACAAAGTTATTAAATAAGTTATTTTTGCAAGGTCTTAACTACCATTCTCAGTCCTTCAAAATGATAGTACTGCTTTTCATCATAACCACCATATAATTCATAATGACATATTTTAGCTATGACAACATCTGAGGGAATTCTTACGCTAGGGACATTAAAAGGTACCTTAACAAGTTAAATGGGGGTAGCTACACCCTTGCTGTGTGCACCCAGGCCCAGCACATCCTCACTGTGCACTCAGGCCACAAGACACAAGAGGATTCTGTTGTTAAGTTCTCGCCCCTCCTCACTAGGGAATTAGTGACTTTCCTTTTACCTAAGTAACTCAGTTCAGAAACCTCCTCCCTGGCCTGAAGTTCCCTCCTTCAGTCCTGTGTCCTCTGATCTCTTTTTACATCCAGCACCATTCCTGTCCAGGCAGTCTGTGATGGACGGTATTAGGGCATTTAATGTAATGACCTTAGTACGTATGTACTTACCCAGATAGATATTTCTAAGGAGGTGCTTTTTTTCCAGTACACTGGAAAATTCTGACTGTAGCGACTCACTGCACTGGGGGGGTCTTCTGTTCTGAGTGGCTCTGATCGCTGTTTGTCTGAAAGTGCTGTGGGGCTCTGTGACCTCTCTCTCCTTATGGTGCCAGGAAGCTTTGTCTCTCCCTCTGGCTTTTGTTAGCAAAGAGCAGTTGATGGACAGAGTACAACTGGAAGGCAGCTCCTCCCTGCAGGGCTGGCCCTGAGTCTGACATTCCCATGTGCCTTTGTCAACTGCCTTCTTGCCTGCAGCCACTTAACCATTTTCTGCCCAGTGTTGATTAAACTGTACTTGTTTCTAGAGCTGGCAAGCAAATAACTATGAAGCTTCTGGCTGGCCGCTTACTGATTATTCGTCTGTCTTAAGCAGTGCTGTCTAGTGGTCAGGAGCGTTGGTTGTGGATCTGACCTGCGACAGTCTGGCCTTGAACTAGTTCTTCAAGCCCTCACTGCCTCAGATTTCTTGTCTGTAAAATGGAACTGATGGTATCACTTACTTCACAGGGTTATTGAGATGATTTAATTAATTAGTTCGTAGAAAGCACCAACTAATGCTTGATACTAAGCACTCAGTACATATAAGTCATTCAGTGTTTACCTTCTCATCTAATATGCGTTGATTGTGAAACATGTGTAAGACTTTGCTTGTCAGCTTAGCAGCAGGAAGAGTCAGTCATCATTTGGAGATGGAAAGTGGGGAGGATGGCTGCCTGGCTCTGAGAGAACCCCAGAAGCAGATCCTACTTTGTTTGATTTCAGGCTGGCCCATCAGTGTCCTTAGCTGTCTCCTGACCCACCGCCCATGGTGGGCAGCATGTGTCCCTGTATTGCTGACCTTGGCCGTTTGTTGAACTGCTTCTGTTGATGCAAAGTAGAGGCTTATACACCAAGTGGACCACTTTTGAACATAACTTCAGGATTTAATGTTGATCTCTAATTGACAACACTTTTGGGGAAAAAAAAACAAAAATCTTCCGTGACTATTTAGGGTTCCAGTTCCAGTAGGCATTCAGTAGATATTTGTGAGTGTGTGAGGTTAACTGATTTCTCAACTATGTGTATGTCATATCAGATAAGTCTCGTTCCATTTGTTTAGTCAGCATGTGTTTATTGAACACTCTATATATCAGACACTCTTCTAAGTACTGGGGTGAACAGGACAGACAGCCCCGTTTGAAGCTTGTATTCATTGGAAGATGCTCGATTGCTGTTTGCTGTGTGTTAGTGCTACATCCATGCTAATGGCCACTCCACCCACTCCTTGCGTTTCAAGGCCGAGAAGGACTCTGCCAGCTCGGACCCCTACCTCTGCCTCTCGGACTTCATTGCCCCTCTGCACTCGGGCATCCCGGACTACCTGGGCCTATTCGCCGTTGCCTGCTTTGGGGTGGAGGAGCTGAGCAAGGCCTATGAGGAGGAGTGTGATGACTACAGCAGCATCATGGTCAAGGCGCTGGGGGACCGGCTGGCCGAGGTAGAACCGTGGTGCCCTGAGGCCAGGGGCCAGGGCTAGGAGCCGGGGACGGGCATGTGTGTTTATGCACGTGTGTGCCTGTATGTGCATGTACTCCTGACTCTGACAGCACATGTACTCTTAAGTCGTGAATTCTTGAGTTGCTCTCATGCCTCATCTTTGGGCACAGAGTAGCCTTCAGCAACGCCTTAGTTAGAATGACCCCCAGAGCCTTGATACAGTGTTGTCCAGAAGAGCCCGAGAAAAGCCAAACAGATTTCTTGATTCAGAGCTTCTCGTTCTGATGTTGGACTCTTCCACAGATCCCTCATCTTCCTCTGTGGGGTGGGGCAGCCTATGTGGCTGTGGGGGCCGTTCCCTTTTCCCGAGGCCACTGTCACGATCCCCCACTCTCCTGGCCACTGTAAACCAGAACCTGAGAGTCAGGGGCAAGTTTGAAGGGCCTCGGACCTCAGATCATGGGCTGTGACCCTTCAGAGTCCAGCGGAGACCAAATCTGAGCCCCGGAGCCGCTGGCGACACTGCAGATGAGTTGAGGCTGTCATCTGTCGCCTGTCCCCCTGGATCCTCGCTGCCTGCGGGCGAGCGGGATCGCAGGCCGGGTGGCGGCAGGAGAGGGCCCCGCCTGCCTGAGCTGTGTGTCCCGTGTCCTGGTCCAGGCCTTCGCTGAGGAGCTGCACGAGCGGGTCCGCACGGAGCTGTGGGGCTACTGCGGCGGCGAGCAGCTGGCTGTGGCTGACCTGCGGAGACTGCGCTACGAGGGCATCCGGCCGGCGCCCGGCTACCCCAGCCAGCCTGACCACACTGAGAAGCTGACCCTGTGGAGGCTGGCGGACGTGGAGCGGTGCACAGGTCAGTGCTGCAGAGAGGCGGGGGTCTTCCTCGGGCTGCACGCGCAGTAGCGAAGGAGAGGCACGAAGGGGTGACGGGGAAAACATGGACAGGGGCTTAGGGTAAAATCCCCAGTCCCATCTTTCCTCACCGTGTGCATGCTTGAGTCATGGACCCCATGGACTGTAACCTGCCAGGCTTGTCTGTCCATGGGATTCTCCAGGCAAGAATACTGGAGTGGGTTGCCATGCCCGTCTCCGGGGAATCTTCCCAACCCAGGGATTGAACCCACATCTCCTGCGGCTCCTGCATTGCAGGCAGATTCTTTACCACTGAGCCCCCGAGGAAGTCCTTTCCTCACTGCTCGCAGTCTGTTCTAGCACTTCACCTCCATAGCGTTATTATTTTCCAACAAGAGGAAAAGAAACACATTTTAATTTCTGCATTTGGAGGTCCTGTAGAAATGGGATCTCTTCCCTCTGTATTATCAAGTGGTGGTCTTAACATCACCATCTTTAGGTTTATCAGTTTATTATTTCCTATTCACGCACAACACATGGGAGCTTAGCTGATTCATACCAGCCCATACATCCCCTGCCCCATTCCCTAATACACGTGTTACTGTTTGCAGCCTCTCCACTAGTGAGTGGCCTCTGTAACCTCTAGTAACACACTTCATATCACTCTGTCCTTCCATTCCTTCCAGGAGCATCCCTGAACTTTTGTCTCACAGAACTCCCGTCCTTCCCTTGCGCTCTCTTCCTCTTTATATCTATACTACTGTGAATGCACTGTTTTTAGTGGAGTTCATCAGAAGCGTGCCATCCACGCTGGAGAGGAAAAGAACGGAGGTGCACGTGGGGAGCTGTGAGGCCTGCTGAATCTGGGCTGGCAGGAATAGCACTGGCTCAGGAGTCAGGGGGACCTAGGACCCATAAGCCAGCTGGGTGACCTCTGACAAAGCGCCTGACCTTCACACTGCTCTGTTGCCTTGTCCAGAAAGTGAACAACGTAGACTGGGCAGCCATGACGTGGGCTCATGCTTAGTGGGGCCCAGCTGAGGTCACCCCTAGTGACCTTGGCCCACCGGAGCCTCTGCAGGCCCAGATGGTGTCCTCAACTCCAGGGTTGGGGTCCTTGTCTAGAAGGCATGGGTGTAGCCTCTGTGACTGATCTTGGAGGCCGGGAGAAGCGTGTAGAGTCTTCCAGGCCTCCTCCCTACCCCTGCCCTGGTCACAGGAGATCTGCACGTCCTAAGTTTGTTCATCCCCTTGGTGGGAGTTTGCTAGACTCCTCTACAGCATCTTTCATGCCATGTCATGTGTCCATCTAAAAGGCACAAGTTCACTCTGACTCACTTGTAAATAAGACTTTATTGGGTGCCTACCAGCCGGCAGGCCTGTCTCAGCACTGAATAAATGAGCATTTTTCCTCATGCTGCTCTCCTCAGGCATTAGGTTAACAGAATCGCTGGCCATGGCACCTGCTTCAGCAGTATCTGGCCTTTACTTCTCCAACCTGAAGTCCAAGTATTTTGCTGTGGGGAAAATTTCCAAAGATCAGGTAAGTTAGCTGTTTCATTGTAGGTGGCATCCCTTGGTGCCTGTCTTGATTTAAATGGAACTGTTAAACCTGTTTTATTTTACATGTGAATGAGAATAAAATGAGAGGCAAAAGATGAAGAAATTTACCCCCACTAGTGTTTTGCTTTGATTTCAACTCATTACTCCAATTCTTGTCCTCCCATGTATAAAGAGACTACCCTCCTCTCCTCTCCCCGCCTACCCCAGCCAGGCCTCTAAGCACCAGATAGTTACTACATATTGTTTTTCTGCCCAGAGAATAAGGCACCCTAGTGAATAAATAAATATCTGTTTCTGCTTAACTCAGTGGATCACTATTAATATTAAGATAAGACATGGAAGGTACTTAGAGTATCTTAGTGATTGCTGTGGGAACTTTAGTTCAGAAAGTCATATCATTTTGTTTTAACAAACTGCCTTTAATCTTTTGCAGATTGAGGATTATGCTTCGAGGAAGAACATGTCTGTGGCCGAGGTTGAGAAATGGCTTGGACCCATTGTGGGATATGATACAGACTAACTTTTTTTTTTAAACTTGTCTGTACTTGGTGATCCTCAGGGAAACAGTCCAAAGAGCCTTAATCATAACAGCGCAGTGGCCAGAAGCCCATCTACATCTGGTTGCCCTTTGCACCACTCCAGGGTGCAGACGTTTGGAAGGACCTTATAGAAGACCAGGGTCTTCCTGCAGTTCTTTTAAAACAAGCAGCTGTTTTCCAGGGAACTTTGAATAAAGAGCAGCGAGTAAGACTCCAGGGTTGTCCCTGGTCCCTTGGGGGCTAGAACAAGCTGGAGATGGAGGTCTTTTGCATTTCAAAGCAAGTCAGACTTTTTTCATTTTTTTCCCAGACCTAGGAAGTCACTTCTTTTTTCTCTCTCTCTCTCAGAGAAAAGCCTGAAAGTCAGTTGAATTGAGAAATATGACCTTGTGGCACTAGTGATGCCGTGAGCAATGGGACATTTTAATCTGAGTGGTTAGAGCAGTTACTCTGACAGGGAAGAAGCATCACCCTGCTCTCTCTCCCGAGACCTCCTTTACTGAAGCCTCAAGGAGATGCTTGAAGGCGTCCCTTTAGCCAAAGGCACGCTCTCCCTGAGCCTTATTAGAGGTGCTCAGGCCGCTTGCCCTGGTGAGTCAAATATAGTCACATTCTCCAAGCATTTTGTTCTCTCGTAATTTCCTATTCCCTCGCCCTGAGGGGGAAGAAGGAGGTAGGCAGAGGGAGTGGCCGCTAAGCGTAGTTAACATCCTTGGGTCATTTTCCAGAATTGAGCAGGCTCAGCTGCATGTCGCAGAGTGGATGGATGGGCAGCGTCACTCTTCTCCGTTCTTCCTTTTCTGCACTGCCCCAACTCCACACATGTACGGTATGGGAACAGCACGTGGACTTGTTCATGGTTATTGCAGGGAGATGGTTAAGAGCGTGGGCTTTGAAGTCAGACACACCTGGATTCAAGTTTCAGCTTTGCCACATGCTTGTTTTATGACGGAGGCAAATTACTTCAGTTCTCTTAACAGAATTTTCTCATCTGTAAAATGGGGATAGTGATACTAGTTCCTGTCTTGTGGGCATGAGATGTGGAGATAACGCGTGTAAGGCAGGTAACATGGGTCTGGCATATAGTGAGAGCTTGATAGACAGCAGCTTCTGTAGAGGTCTCTCGAGCTCAGCACAGGGTAGGTGCTCAAGGAAAGGGAGTAAGAGATTAATGGGGGTGAAGTGCACGTGGGGATGACTGGTTCAATATACTAGCTACCCTTTCTGGAATTAGAGCCCCGTTGAACACAGTGACTGGAGTGAGAAGCTACTTTCTGTGTCACTGGCATCATCAGATCTCATTTTCTGTAAGACAGTCCCCCCTCCCCTCGTGGTATAAGCTGGCCTCTTCCCAAAGCAGTTACATCAAATATACGCTCAGGTATATTGGAGGTGAAAGGGGGAAAAAGCTTAGCAGTTGATAATCCTACATAACTTAGCATGTACATGTGTTCCTGAAGAGTAACATGCATTTTCAGGCATCACTGGCCCTTAAAGAGAAAATTATATGCTTTCTTTAGGATCCATTTAATCTGTGCTGGATTGAGAATGGGGCTCAAGTTTCCTGAGATGCTCAGTTGGAGGACTTACTTCTCTTCCGTAGCAGCTCTGTTACTCTAGGCGTTGGCACATATAAGAAAGAATAACCTCTTCCTAATATTTTAATGTATTTTATCTGAATCATAGTTGTTAAGAGTCTCCCAGTTTCATTAAATGTTTACCGTATCTTTTCTCAACTCATTATGTGACAGAACGGCTTCCTTCATTGTACTGTTGATCTAATCCTGTGATGGATGCCTTTTATCTAAAGACAAAACCAATTTGTTCACGTTTGAGTCCCTGTGTTTTCATTAAAGAACATAGACGATAGCTTGAGGAAAACCCCTTCTGTAATTTGTGTCAGGTGACCTCAAAGGCAGGAAGGTGACCATGCCGTCCCCGGAGTCTCTCTGTGTCTCTGCCCACACATCCAGAACGTCACCTCGTCGTCAGCATCTGTGGCTCTCACATCCACTTGCTCACTCTCATCATTCCCATTAGGGATCCCATGTTTATTTTTCCCTCTAAAGAAGCGCTTGTTTGGAAGCTTGCTCCCTCTGCTACCTGTGTATGGGATGGAGGCCAGTGTATGGGATGATGGTTGCCGTCAGGCCTCATAATGTGCTGTTTCTCCTCTGAGACCTTCTGCTGTTCCTTCCTTTCACAGCTAGGCTCCTTCAGAGAATAGCCTGTCTTCTCTCTCTTTGTCTCAAGCTTGTCTTCAGCAAATATCCGAGTGTCTGCGTTGTGCCAACCACCTTTTCCCATTCTCTCCTTAACTCAGTGAAGTTAGGTGTTTTTTTTTTAACCCATCTCTTCTGTCATAAATGACCTCTTAACTGTTAGATCCATTAGGATCTAACATTGGCTATTCTAGTGATTTTTCTTCTCTGAATTTGGGCAATGTTGACCACTTCAGAAATCTTCTTTCCCTGTTTCCTCCTGACTTCACTCTTCTGGTTAACTTTGCATGTTTCTTATTTCTTAGCTTCTTTCATAATTTTCTCTTCCTCTACCCATTTGAATCCTGGTCCTCACGATCCCATCACTAGTTACCTTCTTAGTCATATAGTTTTAGTGGGAAATCTCATCAAACCAGTATCTTTATCCAGACTCCTCTGTCCTGAAGAACATAGCATGTCAAGCATCCAGTATCATCTTACTCTTCTCAAATTCTTGATATATTCAATAATGAAAAATTCTACCATCACTCCAATAGAAACCTCAAACTCACCCCAATTTGCACATAAAAGACACACTTTTAGTTGGGAAGGTGAAATACCTTTCCCAATACCTTAACCAAATGGTTAAGGCAGACAGTGTTTTAGGTTAAGGCCTGATTTGGGACTTGAAGGATAAAGGTGAAGAAGCTAGGTAGAAACAAATGAAGAACTGTCTTTGTTCATGAATACTGAAGGTTGTAAGGGTGTTAGATCTCCTCCTAAATTATCTATAGACTCAATGCCATTTCAAGCAGAAATTCCAACAGAGGTTTTGTTGAATGTGATGAGCAGATATTTAAATGTCTGTGGATTAGCAAAGGACTGAGAGAGCTGGCTGCTTCTAACTGTGAAGAGAATGAGACTTACAAGATAGTAAGCTTTATTGTAGAGTCTGTGTTGTATGTGGTGCAGAGGTAGGCATTCTGAGCAGTGCAGTGAAATGAGGACCCTGGAAAGCAGCCCATGCATATATACTAACCTTTGAGATATGATGAGATGGCTGATCAGTAGAGGAGGAAGGGTGACTCCATAACTAGTTCTAGAACAACTGTTATCCTTACAGAAAAAATGAAGTTCGGTTTATGCCTCACACCTCACCTAGCAGTCAGTCCCAAATACATTAAGGTCTGAATTACAAAAGCAAATATTTAAATGTTTGCATGAAAGAAAAATCTTTGGGCAGGAACAAATCTCTTGAGACATGTGCTAATCATTAAAGATGATTAAGTCAAATATATTCAAACTAGCACTTAGGTTAAGCTAATAAACAATTTAGTGTAGTAAAAAGACAAACCAAGACTTGATATTTACAATACTGTTAACTGAGAAGGAAGTAGTAAGAAGAATATAGAGAGAATTCCTATTTTTTAAATAATAGGAAAACAGACTTCCTCTTCCCAGGATGGTATCTAGAGGCATTCAGGATGGTCCAGCATTTGATATACCACTGTAGGCTTTCCTGCAATACAGCCTCTTAGTAAGACTAGGCTGTTCTTAACCCCTGGTAATAGAATTGTTTACCTTTATACCAAGAAGATTGGGATAGCACTAAAATCCACATGTGGTGTGTGCCCAGGCCAGCTTCAAGGAGTTTGTGCTGTGAGACCTAAGGTTCTTTATGAGATTGTCTGAAGCAAGAAGACATGTCAGCCAGGCCTGGTTTTCTGGGTGGTGTATATGTCTGTGACAGGATCAAGTGCACTTTCCTTATTGAGGAGCAGAAAATCATTGTGAAAGAGTTAAGAGAAGCAGCACAGAGTCAGAAAGCTAAATTTAAGAAATGAAGCTTTTTTGAGTAATTTTTAAAAATCAAAAAGAAGAAAAATGGAAAAGACTTGAAGAGGCATTTCACAGAAGAGAAAATACATGGGGCTTATAAATCAATAGAAACCTTGGAGATACGAATTACGATCACAATTAGCTTGTAAGTTACATTCATAAGATTTATAAAGTTAAGGAGCCTAACAGCACCAGGTGCTAAAGAAGATCCGTGTGAGCTCATTTCATGATGTGTAAATAGGCGCCCCTGCTTTAGAAAACAACCATACCTCACCAAGTTGAACATTTGCACACTTTGGGCTCTAGCTTATGACTCCACCTTCCAACTGTGTATCCAGTAAATGCGTGCATTTGTGTACCAGGAGGTATGTACAGAAATGTTTATAGTAACATCTTCATGATAGTTATAACTGGAAAAGCTGAAATGCCTTTCTGTCTACAGGACAGTGTTTAAGTAAATTAGGTGTGTTAACAGTATTCAGTAGTAAAAAAAAAAAAAAAAGTGAACCATAGCTATACCTGACAAGAAGAATGAATCTCTGAAAATATTAAGGAAAAAAAATAAAAGCAAGTCCCAGGATATGATTGACACTATTTTTATTGAGCTCAAAAACAAGCAAAACCAAAGAGCATCTTCTCAATGCACGCATAAATGGTAAAACTAAAACTAAAAAAAAAAAAGATAAGCCAAAATTCAGCCTAGAAATCATCTCTGAGAGGGAAACAGGGAGCAAATGTCACGGACATGTGGGTAGACACTGGTTATTAGTAATGTTCAGGTTTTTGGGTTGTATGTTAGATTTATGGTTGTTTATTATGTTATGCTTCACAACTAGCTTTATATTACAGAGTTCTGTATGTATTACATATGTTGTACTTAAGTATTGTAAAAATAATAAAGGAAAATTGAATAATAAGCTACAATCTGGGGTGCTGACTTT